ACGCAAGCTGCAGTACGTGAATTGATACCATGTCCCAAACGTCGTCCTCGCAAGATTCACATCAGCGATGCAACTTGGCAGCTTGTGGACACCAAGAAGACCCTGTTTCGACAACTCCGAACTATGAAGAAGGCATATTATCATACAGTTTTGAAAGCAGTGTTTCAGGCATGGTCGGGTCATGACCCATCAGCCCGATTGTCTGGATGGCTCCCTCTCTGTGATCGTGCCATTGCCACTACCATGTGTTCATTGCGTGCCACGACGCGTGAGGTCACTCGTGCCATCCGAGATGAAGATGCCAAACACTATTCTGCGCTTGCCAACCGTGCCGCGCATACCTACTCAGCTGAAGGCCTTACTGCTCTATGGAGACACCTCAAAGCTGTTCTACCACGGAATCGACTACGGCATTCTGTCCAACGCTTTGACATCCATGCTGAGCTCCTATGCCACTTTGAGCAGTTGGAAGCTGGAACAACCAGACCTCATGCTGAGATCCAGAAGAGATGTGTTGCAAGAAACATTTGTGACCTCCATCAGCAGCCGGCTGTTACGATTGTGGCTCTTGCTGAACTACCTTCACTGGCAGAAACTGAGGATATTTGCTCTCAGCAAAAACCTCACAAGGCACCAGGACCAGACGGCATCTCGTCCAACGTCTGCCGCTACGGAGCGACTGCGCTGTCACCTCATCTACATGGACTTCTACTCAAAGCCTTCCTGACGGCTGTTGAGCCATGCAGGTACAAAGGTGGATATCTGGTCCCAATTTGGAAGCAGAAAGGCCCGCAGAATCAGGCGGCATCCTACAGGGGGATCCTGCTCAGCGATACATTTGGCAAGGTCTACCACGCGTGGCTTCGCCGACGGCTGCTCCCAACAATGCTGCGCCGAAAAGCCCTAGGCCAACTCGGTGGGCTCCCGTCACAGCAGACGGTCTCAGGGATTCAGATTTTGCGCCTACATGGCCGACTTGGGCGAGCGAAGAAGATATCCACAGCCGTTGTCTTCGTGGACCTACGCTCTGCCTTTCACCACCTTCTGCGGGAGTTTGTATTCAATGATACCCTCCCTATGAGTTCTGATGAGCTTGCAAAGGTATTGGAACCAATGGACTTTGACATCCATACCTTAGCTGCTGACCTGCACTCAGCCACCCAAGTGATTGCGTCTGATGTGCCTCCAGCCCTTCGACGCTGCCTTGCAGATGTGCACCAAAACCCATGGTTTCAGTTGGACCCAATGAGAACCTTGGAACCGAGACCAGAAGAGGAACACGCCCTGGCTCACCATTGGCTGACATTGGCTTCAACCTTCTGATGTCCAAGATTGTCCAAATTGCGCATGACGAGCTCTCAGCCTGTCAAGAGTATCTCAAAGGGCAGGACGCACTTGGTGCTACTGCGCCCCCAGTCACATGGGTGGACGACTTGGCGATTCCACTAGCCACTGCTGATGCTGTGGACTTGATTCCCTTGATCCAGACCACCACGCAAATTTTGCACACTACATTCCAGCGCTTTGGCATGTCGCTCAACATGGATCGTGGCAAAACCGAAGTGGTGGTGATGTATAGAGGACGGGAGGCCAACAAGCACCGCACCAATCTCTTTGACATCCCTGGGGTGCCCACCATTGTGACTTCTACGCCGACTCATGTTCTCTCCCTACGAGTGGTCCCTGCATATCGACACTTGGGTGCACGATACACCATGGATTTGGACATTGAGGATGAAATTGTCAGTCGGATCGCTATGGCACGACAATCCTTTGAGGAGTTGCGACGTCCCATTTTTAGCAACCGCTTCCTTGACATCAAAGCTCGTGCCACGCTGTATGACAGCCTGGTACTTTCCAGGTTATTGTATGGATGCTCTGTATGGAGTGATGTGCCAACACCTCTCATCAAGCAGCTGGAAGCCATGATCATTGGACACCATCGCCGGATGCACAATGATGGGTTCTGGACCCACTCCCATACGACTGACGATGCCTTCGTGAAGGAGAATCAGATTCTAACCTTCCGAATCCATTGGGCTCGCCATCGACTGGTTTATCTGCAGCATTTGGCGCGCCACGCAATGCCACTCCATCGTTCACTACTTCTTGCTGAATTTGATACTGGAAAGGGTTGGCTTTGTGAAGTAGCACAAGACCTTCGATGGCTTCAGCAGATGATGGCCTTGCCCTTTGAGATTCCAGACACAGTGCAGAAGTGGGAGGAGATATGGACGGCCATTGCATCCTGGAAATCTTGGAAGCGCACCATCCAGCGAGCTTGTGCCCGCCATCTTGCCCAAGAGAAGTTGGCATGGGAGGTGGAATCCTACCATAATTGCATCTTAGCGGAACTCCAGCACTTTGGAGGGGATGTTGATACTGGTCAAGAGGAAATGTCAACCTTATCGACGACTACCTGCCGATGCCCGACTTGCCCTATGACCTTTCCGTCCCAACAGCAGCTGGCACTGCATGCCTTTCGGGTCCATGGCATCGTGGCACAGGAGCGCAACTATGTGCAGTCCACGGTATGCCCTGGTTGTCTACGAGATCATCACACGTCTTTCCGGGTGACTCAACACCTCCGGTATCGACGCAATGGATGCTGGGATAGAATTTACCTTGCTCGTTGCCCAGCTGATCCTGTTACGATTGATCTTCCTGACCATCTTCGCAAAGTCAAACGACTCCCAGCCGTACGTCGTCACCACGGACCTCTACGCCCCACTAGCGTTCAACGAGAACGCACCCGTCTTCGACAGGAGATTGAACAGCTGCGTGCTGAGGGTAAAGAGGAATGTGCATGGTGGTTTCCATCGGATGAGGATCCGCTGGTCAGGCAATCCCATGCACTACTGCAACATGCCTTGCGAGAATGGTGTCAAATGATGGAGCCAACCGAGGTCGACTTCCACAACCTTATGTTTGGAGCCCTCTTTGAGCTACCTACGGAAGATCCTCAGCGATGTCGCTTGTTCATTCACTGGGTTGAATCTCATTTGCACGATGACTGCCCAGTTGAACTGGATCCAGATGTAGCACATCTCTTGGAACATGCCTACATGAGCGTGCTGGAGGACCTTCCTACATGGCACATCCGACAGAGGATGAAAAGGCTGACCCAACGGTGGATGCACCTCCCCAATGACTACCCGGAATTTGCTCCTCGACCTGCACCTGATGACAGGCGACCGTACAACCGATTGCATCCGATTGTGCTGACCTTTGCAGAGCTTGGCACAAGGGAGCAACAGCGCAAGCACTGGTGGTTCCGTCAGCGACCTCGCCTTCGCCCACTTGCTGCAGATGGTCCATTTTTCATTGTACACCTTTATTCAGGGCGCCGCCGTGAAGGTGATTTCCAATATTGGATGGAGCAGAACTTGGCGGACATGGCTCTCCCATTCCGAAGCTGTGTTCATGTCATATCGTTGGATACTGCCATCCATTCTACAATGAATGTTCACAGCCCTGCACTTTGGAACCGGCTTCTTGACCTCGCCCGTGCTGGCCACCTTCTGGCTATGCTACTGGGCCCGCCGTGTGAGACATGGTCAGCAGCCCGCAATAATCCATTGCAGGTGGATACAGAAGTGCGTGCAGGACCTCGACCTTTGCGTGCTGCCACTGATTTATGGGGATTGGATATGCGGACCTTGGCCGAGATCTTGCAGCTCAGCGTCGGTAACTGCTTGCTTCTTAAAGGGATTTGGTTGTCAATAGCTGTTGCTTTTCGCTCTGGCTACATCGTGTTGGAGCACCCTGCGACACCATATGATCTTGCTCTTCCCTCCATCTGGCGCACTGGGATCCTATGCATGATGCTGAGGGATGGAATCCCCTTTCGCAAGATCACGATACAGCAATGGCGCTATGGCGCAGCTGGGGTCAAGCCAACGACCCTCCTCTACAGCAACGGCAGCCTCCCGAAAGCGCTCTACGGCAATGAGCTTCCAGATGCAGTGCGGCCAACGACTCATTTGCTAGGTCCCGAGGCAGACGGAACTTTCCGTACTGCCAGAGCCAAGGAATATCCTAGCGCTCTGTCGAAGGCGTTTGCGGCATTTTTCCATGACTGTTTGCAGCGACACCAGCACAGAATCACAGGTACCGCTGCACAACCAGATCATGTGATGTTTGAATTCATCAAGCACAGTTCCACCATTGCAGATGGAGCGATGCTGCCTGATTATCAGCCTGTCTAACATGGATAGGCAATGCATGGAGCCGGCACGAGAAAGGTCTCAGCAGCCAAAAAAAAAACATATACATATACATATACATATACATATACAGATACATATGCACATACATATACATATACATATACATATACATATACATATACATATACATATAATTGCTATCGTCAACAAAAATGAGAGTGTGGCATCGTACAAGCAACCACAATGAGCAAACCCCAGTACCCTGGTTTCACCTGATTCGGGTTCCTTGATATTTTTATGTTTGTTGTGTCACACTCGGTTTTGACACACTGACCCATAACAAAGGTGATGTATGGATCTACATGTATAGATATGTATATATATATACATATATATCACCAAAACTGGATGTTGGGTTATGAGTCATAGCCCCGGCAATACTCTCACATTGCAACAAAAATACAAATATATATCAGCTGGTTGGTGGTTTCAACCCCTCTGAAAAATATGAAAGTCAGTTGGGATGATGACATTCCCAATATATGGAAAGTCATAAAAATCATGTTTATCAACAGTTCTATACAATACTCTCACATTGTGATTCAGTTGCAATCAATGCCATCAAATATAGAAAGTCATAAAACTAAAATCATTGTTAATAAGTAAATCATCATAAATCATCTATAAATGGGTCATCTATACCATAGCTACGTTAAATAACCAAAGGGTAAATCACCGTTGTTTATCGTTGGGTCGTTGGGTCGTTGGGGGCTAAAATTCATGGCCAGTTCTCCGGGTCCCAGCGGGTCCCAGCGGGTCCCAGGCCCTGGCCATCTCGCCGGGGTGTAGGCTGAACTCTTTCTCCTCCTTTTCTGCGGTCAAGTTACTTGCTATGAATGATAAAATATATATATATATGTCAATATTATATATATATGTGTGTGTAATACATATACATAGTCTAAATATATTTATATATGTGTGTGTAATACATATACATAGTCTAAATATATTATTATATATATATATATGTGTAATACATGTATATATATATATGTCAATATATATATATATATATGTCAATATATATATATATACATAATACATAATGAAGATATAATCAAAATATAATTAGGATATAAAGAGGATATAATGATGAGTTAACTAGCCAACAATATATATATATACTGTATATATATATGGAGACGGGTCATATGTGCGATGGGATGAATGGGTGATTTCACCAACAATAGTGGAATTTTTATACAGGCAATCTAGTTGATATAAAGTTGGTATACAACCAACAATATTTCCATCTTAAAAATCCAAACATAATGCGCATGTAAATCCCAATCAGAATGGATTGATGACAAACCCCTTTTATGGGAAAACAACCTACAGTGTGTATATATATAAATGTGTTTTGACCATGCCACATTTGGAACTCGTGTGTTCTGTAGCATTGGAGGCACAAAAAGTAACAGAAAAGAATTGGAGGTACTTATGTGACAAATCCCCCTTGGAGGTAGTCCTAATGATGGGTATAGAATCTGGCCACTGGGATTTCAGTTAAGTCTCTGGCATACGCTTTGGTTGGAAGCTGCGCCGGCTTTGGGGCAGCCAGGTTTCTTTTGGAAAATGTCACAACAATAACCATGTCACAATCATACAACAATGTCAATGACATTTGAACTATCATTATCACAGTAAAAATAACGATAGGTAGGTATTGTCATTATCAATAACAAAAACCGGCGGTGACTAACAATAACTAACAGTAACCAGCAATAACTAACAATAGCAAACAATATGTAACAATAACAGACAATTATTCACATCAACGTGACTATTATGGGCCTACTGCTTTTGTAGTAGTAGTACTATTAATTATACGATAAAAACTCTTGTTAGGAGTATACCACTATTGTAATCACTATCACAGCAACCATACTAGTCATTCCAACAAAAAGAACATTAAAAAGTAACAAAAATAATATCATAGTTATCTACCATTGTAGATTAATTACAACGGTTGATAGACCTATTGATATAATTAGACGTGTGACAACCATAATTCTAACTAACAATCGCCAACAGTAACTAAGAATAACTAGCAACAATAACGAAAAACAATAACGAACAATATCACACAACTTATATCCTAACCGTAGACTTCTCATTCCTATCGTTTTGGGGCGCAAAAGAAATCTCCCGCGCCGCTCCATGAAGGCCGGCCCCTCGCGGCTATCCATCAGGATGGCATGGCCATCCTCACGGGAGATTTGGAGGTGGATGGTTGCCAAAACCTGCACCAGTTGATAGGTGGTAAACATCCCATTATTTTGTTGGGGATTCAACAATCCTTTTTTGGTGATTGTGTAAAACAATTGTAATATCAATCGCTAACTTAATATTGATAATATGATTGATGATAATTTGGAATATCATTGTGATAGTTTTCAACAACGATGATCGATTTGCTTCAAATCTGATACTTCGTCGCCCTGAAAAAGGACCATTTGGGATGGTTTTGTAGTGAGGTCAGAAACTGAGTGAATTCGAGACGCGGGCAGGGGGTCACGTGGCGTCATTTGAAGTGAACCGCGAGTCCTGACTATCTGCCAAGTAATCCTCTGGAGCAGTCTGTGCTTTCCCGCAGCTCCTTGGGATGTGGAGCCTTGAACCGATTATCACATGCATGTGCTACTAAATTCATAGCTCCAGCTGGCTCCACATTTAACAGGGAATGTGTACATTATATACATATCTATATATACATATCTATATATATATATAATTCATATAATATATATATATATATACACAATATATACACACATATAATATATATATATATTGTATATATATATATATACCATCCCCACATAGTAGGTGTTTTCTGAGATTTACCACGTTAGCATAGCTCCGAGACCCTCGCAGCGTGGAAGCCATGGTTGGTCCCAAGGTCTGCCCCCAGGGACCGAGGTCCTGGCGCCATCGCGTGGCAGCTATTGGTATATCTATGGTATATCTAGATATAGCAGGGAATGGGATGATTATTATTGATATATCATAGATGTACCAATAATCATCTATGGTATATCTATGGTATAGGGTACATCTATGGTATATCTATAATATGCACCAGGCCCTGCCACCCCCCCCTCCCCCCCGAGAGATGGACTGTTTCATAGAGTGCTCTATTTCTTAGCGGAGCCGTCACATAGAACGGAAAAGTCCAAGCCACCCCTCCCCCCCCATGGGATGGGTTTTATATACTGCCCCCATATGAGATCTTCCCCCTCCCCCCCCCTGTGGTGTGGTGGGGGTGTGGTATGGTATGTTGGGTATGTATGGTGTGTATGGTCTGGTAAGTATGGTATGTTTGGTATGTATGGTAGGTATGCTATGTATGGCATGAATGGTTGTTATTGTATGGATGGTAAATATGGTATGTAAGTCTGTTGGGTATGGTATGTTTGATATGACAGTATGTATGGTATGTATGGTTAGTATGGTTACTATGATGGGTATGGAATGTTTCCTATGTAAGGTAGGTATGGTATGTATGGCATGTATGTTTGGTATTGTATGCATGGTAGGTGTGGTAATTGTGTTTCATATGTATGGTATGTGTGGTCTGTATGATAGGTATGATAGGTATGGTATGTATGGTTACTATGATGGGTATGGAATGTTTCCTATGTAAGGTATGTATGGTATGTATCGCATGTATGTTTGGTATTGTATGTATGGTAGGTGTGGTAATTATGTTTCATATGTATGGTATGTATGGTATGTGTGGTATGTATGATAGGTATCATAGGTATGGTACGCATGGCATCATTGGAATGTATGGTAGGTACGGCATATGTTCAACACATGTAGTGTTGTGGGAGCACACAGGTAGTAAATAGGAAGTAGATACATAGCACGTGTATATATGACTACAGGTGGCACGTAGGTACTTTGAGGGAGTATGTGTGCTACGTAATGCGAGGCTGGTAGTCAGAAATGCTGCAAAGACCTAGCAAATACGAGGCTGGACCTCAGAAATGCTGCCAATAGCTTGCAAATAGAAAGGAAAGGGGGGGTGCTACCTGGGGACCCAACCCATGGGGGGGGTGGAGAGACGGAGGACGGGACCTATGATCTATAAATATCATTGATATATCGATGATATTGTGCTTTGTACTTACTGGTGCTTAGTAGGGAATGGATGGGTTGCTGGGGGAATGGGATGATTATTACTAGTGATTATGGATCATTTCATTCCCTACTAAGCACCAGTAAGTATACCCGTATGGTTAATCCATGTTAATCCCATATGATTGTCAATTACATGAACATCATGGTTAACTATGGTTAATATATCTATCTGGTTGGTGGTTGACCTACCCCTCAGAAAAATATGAGTCAGTTGGGATTATGACATTCCCAACTGAATGGAAAAATAAATTCATGTTCCAAACCACCAACCAGCTATGATATATGATTCTCTGTAATAATTCTGTTTATGACTGTGGATGTTTATGGTGATGTTTCACAATGCAATGATATTGGCTATAAAACGGTAAATAACTATGAATCTAGCCAATGATATTATGGTCCTATGATCATCATGACTAGACTATAATATGATAATTGTAGTCTAGTCATGATAATCATCACCACCATCCTACAACTGCCGGTACAACGGGCTCTGACCTTGGTCCACCGGTTGATCTTGTCTTCTTCAAGTGCCTTAGCGTTGAAACATGTTGAAACAACGGGTAGTATGGAGAAAAGCCACCAGCCAAAAGCTTTTCGAGAAAGCACTTCATCCACTTCTGTTGTCTCATCTTTGGCCGACCCATCTTTGGCCCCTTGGCCCGGTCGTCAGCCAGCTGCATCGGAATTCGAGAGGAGGAGCGACCTCAAAAGCCCCCGGTGTGTCTGAGAATGGAGGATTATAAGAAAATTGCCATTTATAGTTGATTTTCCCATTAAAAATGGTGATTTTCCATAGTCATGTTAGTTTACCAGAGGGTAACCCAAAAAAAAAAGACACACGTTTTCCCCAAAGTGTTCAAACAAACCCACTTAGCAACTTGTCAACAGACATTGGTGACCTGATCTATAGATGAGATCGTCAGCGATACGGGGACATGGCGATGGATCAGAAACCTGTGACCCAGTGAAGGTTAAAATAGCTCACAAATGGATCTCTATCCCCCAAATATGGTACCAGTAGGTCTTATCCCCCAAATAAATGGGCTAGGAGTTGGTTGTGGGCCCCACAGGGCCCCATTTATGACCAGTAAGGGGCCCGTCATTGTAGCATGTCCAACATTGCTCCGTCATCAACAAGGAATCGGTTATACTTTAAAAAAATGTGTTTAACTTATCCATCCACCATGCCAAAGATTTTTTCACAGAGTTTTAGAGCTTAAAAGTTTTCGCAGAAGTTGGACCCGATCATTGGCAATCGGCCCCCTTTAAGCATCCCTTTGGCAATCGGATGTTAGATGATGATCCCCCCAAAGTTGATGCTCAAGGACAGTCATCACCACCTGATCAAAGGAGTGTCTTATGTCATGAAACACCAGAGGAACTAAGCAACAACAACGGTAGCTCGGAATCGAACTACCAACAAACATGTTCAGAAGCTCGGTCATATATGTATATATAATCTGGTTGACCAGCACTAGAACCCATTTACAAATAGGATGTCACCTGTTGAAGATAACAAAAATGACAGATTATGCTCGCCTTTTTTTCCACTTTTCTGGGGGACTTTATCCCATTGCGGACTCGATAGAGCTCTCCTCCATTCCATTCGCGGGGACTTCCCGGAGTGGCATCCCCGCCTGCTGCGCAGTCCGCCAGAGGACCCATGTCCAGAGAATGCCTTAGGTATCATCAAAGATAGAAGTCCATCTGGTTGGGACGTTGGATCGGTTGGATAGGTTGGACCGTTGAATCAATTCCAGTTTCCCTTCAACCACTTCTAGGTTGTTTATCCTGCAAAACCACAAAGTAGAATTAGTTGAAGGGAAACTTTTCCAGGAAAAGCCTAGATTCCTAGATTTGTGACGAACACACAATGGTTCAAACACAAGTTTTCCCTTCAATCCGTTGCCCCAGACTCCGGGGGGATGGGGTAGGTCATCGATCCTCTGCGTGTCCAAGTAAACACGGTATATCTGGGTCGCCAGGGTTACAAAACCCCTTTCTGACTGGGATGGTACCAGCCCTGCCTCCAACCAGTCAGGCGAAGGCCCAACTGATCCATATTTCTTGCCCGACATCGAAAATTGCAGCTTTAAACACGCATTTCAGGCCCAGGAAAGAACAATGACTCTGGTAATGTTTAACTTTTTTCATTTGGATATGGGTCAAAAATGGTCAAAATTGGGTACCCCAGGGTACCCCCGTAATCAAATGATTTAATGATTACTACTAAAAATAAACAAATCAATCTGTTGTCCACCAGGTTCCCAGGCTGGTTGCCGGCCACTTTGGCCGAACAGAGGCTGGCCTGCGCTAACTGGTGGTCAGGTCCATTTCTAAAGGTGGAATTGAGGTCAGGTTTGAAAAGACATTGTGACATAGAAGAAGATATAATATCATAATGTATCTATAGATAGGTAGATAAGATGAGATCAGATAAGATTAGATAGACAAACAGACAGACAGATAGAGTCTGATACAGTATATCAAAATGATGTGTTTCTATGTTTTTTCCAACAAAATTGGCTTTGAAAATCAGGTCATCCAGTCGCGGCAGGTCGCTGTGGCATCCCCTTTTTTCGCTCTGGCAGCATCTCGCGTTGGCACGATGCTCAGGGACCCAGCTCACTCTCCAGAACCAACTTACCTGGGTCGGAGCTGGAAAGTCTTGAGCATCACCCAGCCTTTTTTGGATCATGTGGTTTTATTCGGATCGTCTCCAGATTGCTCCTTTGCTCCCTAAATCAAAGACTCAAAGACTCAATCAATTGGCCCATTTAGAGTTATCCAGATTCGGGCTATCACCAAAACAACTATGATTCTATGATCGGTGGTGAATTGCCAGTTTCGTTGTTTACTTTTCCTGGAGAAAGATGTTTTCCTGTAAATGCTCTCTTCCTGCCTCCACCTGAAGCATGACCCTGACGCTTCCTTCTAAATGGGTATGTTTGGGTGGTATACCGGTATACCCCATTTTCAGCCACACCCAAAAACCAGATATTGCTGGATAGCTACAGATAGTTGTATATATCCCCATGATATTCCCGCTACATCCTTATCATATCCCCTTAAAATCGCAATCGGTGCTGGTTTGACTTCATATATTGGTGGTTAGTTTATATTCCAGTAGTATATTCCAATCACATCCCCATCATATCCCCATGGTTTGTTATATAGTTCCATATAATATTCCCATATGATATTCCCATATCTGGTTTGTTCCCATATCAAATTATCCCACTATGTCACACTATATCCCACTATATCCCATTCTTATTGTTCCAATATCCTATTCTTATTGTTGGTTAGTTGATACTCCATCATTATATTCCATTAGTATATCCTCAATTAATATCAGACATTATATCCATATGTAATCCCTATGTTCATGTAAATCTCTATAAATACCCCGTCATATCCCACTATTGTATATATATATATTATATTATATACATACTGGTTGGTGGTTTCAACCCCTCTGAAAAATATTAGTCAGTTGGGATGATTATGCCCAATATATGGAAAAATAAAAAATGTTCCAAACCACCAACCAGCATATATCATACCAGTCCCTTTTTTAGCATCGGATATCAGTCTACATAGGATATAAATCCAAAAATGGGATATAAATCCTAAAATGGGATATAAATTCTATATGTCATCCTCTTGAAAAATCTTCGCAGTGGCGCACCTTCGTACAGCACCTTCATGGCTGGACGTTCTAAAAGATCACCTGCGTGTCGTGGGTTGAGATGTCATGGGGAGAACCAACGCGAAAAGATGAGTAAAGATGGAAGTTTGTTATAGTAGTGATATTTCAGTGACATTTACATACTTCATAGTTGAGAAGTAATCTATCTCAACTATGCTATATAAATAATATCACTGAAATATCACTGTAATTTGGCAAAGATTGAATCATACACATGACATGAACTCATCAAAAATGTGGGATGTAACACTAGGTGAAACATGGGGTATGACTCCAAGTGCGGTGATTTTGATGCAGAGGGCAAGTTGATATGACCTGCATTTGGAGACACGGACGTCAAACAAAATGTTACCCCATGTCTTGCCGTTTGCACAACACGTACATTAAACAATGGAATATAAATCAACAATTATGATGTGCTGTAAGGGGCTTTGACCGAGAACAACCATATAGGCCATATAGGGGTCAGAAGCATTCAAACTGGAGCTGCCATGATTTGTTTCTACTGGATCCCTTTTTGGGTGCTTCATTCACCTTTCAGCCTTTCCTGTTGCCCACCTGCTGAGCTTGTATCAACAGATGCTTTATCCTCGGTGGCATCGCAGGTGCTAAGTGAGATAGGTGTGGGGGTGTACCCACAGGTGTACCCTGCTTCGCAGCCATTTCAAGTACCAAACAGGGGAACGTCGAACTAAAGCTTCACCGACGACGACGTCTGGAAGGATAAGGTTCATAGGCGTCTCGATCGTCCCATACTGTCACGCCTGCGGCGAACCGGGTGAAACCTGGGGATGAACCCTCCCCTGAAACCTCACCAAAAAAAAGTTGGATCATGTTGGATCTATCCCAAGCCCCCGTGCTGTTTGGTGGAGAATTCTTTCTGATTTCTGCGCGGCTCAATTAAGCGATTGTCCTAGGGACCAGAAAATGTCACCAACATTTGATACCACCAAACCACTAGAATCCCAAATCAACCCCTCTTTGGATGGCTATGGATGGCTAACCCTCCTTTCTGTTGATGAAAAGCTTGGGTGAAATTCCAAAATATTGGCCCTGTGTGGTCTTTCACTCAAGTTGGCTCCTACCCAGACAGAGTACCCTCAAATTTGGTAGCTTATCAGGCTTATCATCATGTTCATTCGTTTTCCTGATTGAAACTGCCATAACCGGGCAATTTTCCCATCATTTTTGCACCCAAATCACCCTGGCCTAAGTAGTTGCTGTCATCATCAGGCACTTGGTCGCGCCGAAGCAGCTGGGAAAATCGGAAGCCGCTCTCAGCCTCCCAGGCCCCAGTTTCCCGGTCAAACTTTCTGAACAGGGATCCCCACCAACTGATATTCTGGCATATTTTCTGACATCTGGCATTCTATGTGACATATGTATACAGATATGTTATGACGTTCTATCTGGCATTCTTTGTGGAATTCTATCGGACATACGTTCTGACATTCTATCTGGCATCCGACATTTTATCTGGCAGATATTCTGGCTTTCTATCTGGCATCTACTCTGACATCCTCTCTGGCCTGTGTTCGGGTCCATGCGTGCTCCACTGCATCCGCTTGCGATATCTTGCGATAGGCTTCGGGTCCAGGCGTGCTCCACTGCATCGGGAGCTCGCGATATGGCTTGGGTCCATTAGTGCCCACAGTCACAACAAATAGACAGGAGAAGAAGGAAAAGAAAGAAGGAACTTGACAAGGAGAGGACAAGCAAGGAGTGAAGGAGTGAGTAGGAATGGGGAGTGAGGAGTGGCACACCTTTGAAAAATCTAGAAACTCTCACCTGGCAGGTGGGGGAAAACCTACAGATTTCCTACGTCGTGCATTTCCCATTGGGAAAATAAAAATCATGTTCAGCAAATCCAGGTAAACAATCAAGATATTCATCCATCTTTCCTCCATCGAACACAGCCCAAAAAAAGTTAACACATGTTAACCCATAAATCTAGACCATGCACCAATTGCCCAATGCTATAGACGGAGATGCTTTTGCCTCCCCGTGCCACGCCGCCTTTAAGGCCTCCCCGTGCTCTGACCAAAACTTCTCAAAGTCCTGTGGCAAGGGCCCATTTTTGGTGCCGGATCCTATGAATCCCCCAGGTCTCGGTGTCGGAGATCGGCCAGGTCCTGCTCACGTCCATCGGCCACCTTGAAGCGAATGGTTTGCACAAAGACCTGGCGACGGGGAAACCTGGAGTCTGGAGATGCTGGAAACATCATCTTGGAAAGGTGTTTCACCATCTTTTTGGAATGCTACATATATATATATATGTGCATGAATTGTTGTGGTTTCACTGCGTGCTATCTTAGCAACCTGCCATACATGTCGGTGGCAAGAACGTGCGTATTCTCCTATGAAAAAACCAATGTTTCACCATGCTCTTGGGGACCTCAAGACCACCTGCAGGATTTTGACCCAGGTGTCCCTCCCTCAAAGTGATTGCTTCTCCCTGAGTTGTCTGGCTAAACCCCAAGCCTGCAAAAGCCAGTGGTATTCCCTGCCATTTTTCCTTTCCACCAAGTCTTGGAAACCATTCAGCAAGTCTCAGATCCCTTGCAAAAAAGTATCGTTTTTCGCTGCGTAGTGTAGATTCGCATCAAAAGGACAAAAGATTCACTATGAAACTAGCCTTCACCAAGTTTTATTAAAATTGATTCAATCCCAAGTTTCCTTGGTGAAACATGGTGAAACATGGTGAAACCCCCAATGAAAATCCTTGGTGAAACACACCTTTTTACAGTTCTGTACCCAGACCCTTTTGGTGTACCCAGAACGGCCACAGGACCTCAGGGTCCAGCATCGTCTGGCCATCGGCTTCAGGTCGTCCGCCGGGACCCGACTGGAGTCGCTCTTTGGACTGAGAGGAAGTCACTGGAAGGACACCTGGACTTGGCGAGGTGCGAGGTGCTTCGGGTCAAGCCATTTCAGCCCTCCCCAAAAAAAGGTACCACTGATTTTTGACATGTAGATGTTTAACAAATGAACCATCGAATTATTGGCCCAATTTTGAGCCCCAAGTGGTTCCAGTGAAGTGGTTCAGTGGTTCTAATGGGTTCTTAGGGTTGTAGTCGGATCCAAAAAGAGGAATAAAAAAAAGGACAACTGTCATCTATAGATGGGGGCCAGCGATGAATGTAGACCCCGGATCAATAAACCACCATCTATTCATTGGGGGGAATTACCACCAAAAATATGTGATAAGCCCGTATTAAAATACTACTAAAATTGGCACCGCGCCGTATCAATAAACCGGGGCTTTATTGAACTACCACAAAAAATGTGGATTTGTTGTTGGGTTTACCACATCACAGGATATCCATTTTAGTGCATCTTAGTGGGCGAAAAGTGATGACCGAGGGAAAAAATCAAGGACGTTGAAGGGATAGCTTAGAGGTGAACCCCCATCATTCTTCACCGTCAAAATTTCGCTACAAAAGCAACCCAGTTTGGACTTGCCATTGGTCTTGTATTCACCATTCTATGTTGGGGGGGATGCTTACCCTCTGGTAAACATACAAAAAACTATTGAAAATTGCCAGGGATTTACCCATTCAAAATGGTGGATCTTTCCAAAGTTTTTCGTAAACGCTTACCATAAGGTAGAACATCTTAGACCTAGGGCTATCCCAAACCAAATCCTTCGTTTCCCCATTCCTTTCGGACCCGTGTCGGATGGCCCTTGGGCATCCCAGTAGTGCTTGAGATTGTGGGATCAACATCGCTTTCGGGGAGACCGTTGGGCATAGAAAATAGATGAAATATATATGACATATGCTAAATCACCAACCAGAGTTTGGCTCTTGTTTGGAGTAGTTGAACGTGGGATCTGATTTTGATCAACATACTGCAGATTTATGTGACAACTGCAACTCCAAAGATGATGCGAGTTGGACGTGCAAAATCTTCCAAGTGAGTTTGTCTGAAGAAAAGGCTACCCCTCCATCCAGTGGTTTTATCATCACTATCACTATCAGCCACTACCACTATCTCAATGGCCATTTGGGTGACCAGCTCCCAGGAATCAACCATGGGATGACTTACCATGGGATGACTTTGGGGGTGACTCAAAATAGTTCAACATCATTGAGTCAAAATCAAATGAAATAAATCTGACCCAAGAAAGGAACATCATATTCTGTTGGGTCGAGAAATGGTAAATCTGGGGTTGACCCAGAAAAAATCAAGGAGTGTCAAGAATAATGACTGGCTTCGGAAATGACGGTATCATTGAACCCATTGTTTCTACCAAAATTTTGAGCCCAAGATGATTTTGTTTATCATCCTCAATAAAACCTATGCTTTTTTGCTGCTCCATTCGCATGTCGCGTTTCCAGCCTTCCCAAAAGAATGGCTTTGGCGGTCCCTTGCTGGTCATGAAGGAACTCATAATCATGCCCAGAAAGTCCTGCATCCAGCTGGACACAAGTAATCGGCCATCGAGCCCCAGCAGCCACAGCAGTTCATCGATCCGAACTAAATTTTGAGGGCACCCAAAACCGGCCCAAGTCATCCACCTTCATCCTATCTGCCTCTCTGCAACTCCGATCAATCTGAGCAAATTCCATGCATTTACCATCATTTACCAACCTGACAAGCCATTTTTGAAAGGATTTCCCGCTGTCAAACCAGCTATATGAAAGATTTGAAAGAACCTCATGGGCCAGTCAGCCAGATCATCCAGCAGTCCCCAAAAATCGGTCCAGAATACCTCCTCCACCATGAGCTTCTTTAAAGGCTGGGCCTTTTCTCCAAAAGTTGAAATCTTTTTTCGTCTCCCAGATGGTGAAGGAAATGTAGCCTGAGAGGCGATGGTCTCTTCCGCAAGACAAAATCCTATCAGCCACTAGCTACTAGCCAAGGTCCAACTATCGCTCCGGGTCGCTATAATCATCACCGAAGTTCACGGAATCGTCTGGGACTCTTCGCATTAAGGAAAACCAACCTAGGATGAGTGGAGGCACTTTGGGGTGGGAAGCACGTTCCAAGGACCGCATGCCAAGGCGAAAAGTCTCCCTTGACAGCTTGACACGCCACAGGGCGGCAACAAATTCAGTGGCAGCCAAAAAATGCACGAAAACAAGGTAATTTGTTTGATACTTCAACATACTTCAAGTGTATATAGCTGTGTGTCAACATTGAACCAACACGGGTGATCCGATTTGGGAGTCAAGAATTTTGAGCCACAGCCAGCTGGTACGATGGAGAACTCTGTTTTGGATCCTTGGGAAGAAGAAACAAGTTACCAGCGTTTGCGTGGGTCGGTCGTGGAATCACCATGAATCACCTATTCAAATTCAAAAAGTTTCCAACACAATTTTTTAGCCAGCTTTGCAACCCAACTGCAGCTTCCAGCAGTTCCAGGTTCCAGGGATTCGAGAGTTGCATTCTGGTTTTGACTGGCATCTGTGATGGACAAGTCCCAGAGAGATTGAAACCCAAGATGTTGGGAACAATTCAACTTTGCCATAGCAAAAGGGTCCAAAAAAAAGAAGGAACGATGTCTTCCTTCCGCTGTTGATCTCCATCTACTTGATTCAAGCCCCATTCGGTTGGTATCGTAGCATTTTAGATATAATATCTATTAATGGTGTCCTTATTAGTAATCTGCTATATCCGATGTTGTATGCCCATTTTCCCGTTTTCAAAAATGATTCTACAGTATGGTTTCTATCCCCATTGAGGCTTTGTTGTCTGATCCTTTACGGTTCATATCCCCATCTATGTGTATATATATATACACACGTGTACTCCAAAGATGTAAAAATAACATCTCTATATCACTAAATTCTATCTTACCCTGTATGTATATATATATATTATTATTATTATTATTATTATTATTATTATTATTATTATTATTATTATTATTATATATATATACACATTACATATATATATATACATTATATGTTATATATATATTATATACATATATATATATATATACATATATACATATGTATAGTTTTTTCCCCTTGTTGGGTTCTGATCCCCGCTCGCTACAGCAATTCTCTCCGGGCCACGGAAGCCCGGCAGCGTCAGCAAGGAACTCTTCCGCTGCGCCCAGCGCTGTTCGAAGGCCGCATCCGCGCCCTAGTTGTATGATGTGATGCTATAATATATGTGTATATATGTATGTATATATGGCAGTGTGTCAAAACCCTGTACCCCTGGTGAACATCAAAATAGCTGGTAAATGGATGTTCATCCCACTAAAAATGGTATGTATAGGTATTGATCCATAGCCATATATTCCTGTCAATATCATCAATATCTACATATATCATTCTATATCTAAGATCATTTTGAACATAGCTCTAGAGCATACCTCAAGTCCGTCCAACAGCCCAAGAAAAATGAGTGGCAAGGGTTGTGCTAGGGGTCTGTTGGAATGTTCTTAGAGAAGGAAGTCACAGGGTTGAGGCGAAAGGAAGGCTGGTTTTTGATCCAAGCCCCATGTGTGGTGGTTTTCCCCCTTGTTGAACAATGGCCAATCTTAGATGCACTGCATCGTTTTGAGACAGTTTAACATACATCCCCATTTAATATAGTGCTGAACGCTCCAAGATTGACCCATTGTTAAAGATTGATGGAGTGAAGATTGGTTGAATTTGGTGAAGATGGGTGTATTTGTTTCTGGAAAATTGCTGCCAAAATCTGCCCTTTTGAGGTGTTGTTTCATGTTTTTCTCAATGATCTGAGAAACCAAGCCCTTCTCCAAGCCTGGCCTCACGCACACTGAAGCGGTTGGAGGCGATGTAACGCTCCGAAGGTTGCAACGCATCGCTCTGGCGGGAAAAGCTTGGATGAAAACCAGTCATTAATTGAAGAACTTGGGAATATTTAGATGAACTTAGATGAACTTACATGAACTTACATGAATCCTTCTGAGAACGAAGTTAGATGAACTTCGAACATCTTGCAAGCTATTCATTTTTGCAAATCCTTGCCACATGAGGGACGTGATCTTCTCCATTTTCGGGGTTCCATGTTGGCATGAGGCGATGAATGGTTTGACCAAAACATGTGGGTGTGGGGCAAAATTGTTTGCACCAAAATAGCTGGGTTGCCCCTAATATTGGAAAATAGAGAATATATGAAAATATGGTATAATGGGTCTTGATCTATCCCCATATTTTTGGGGATTGGTTTTCCCTAACCTTGGAAGCAAGGCATATGTAGGGATTGTTCTGGAACTTTGGACATACAGAAAACCACCAGTTAGCCATTTTAAGGTCTGTCAAACCCATTTTGAGACGTCAAAAACATTCAAAAAGAATTTTGGGTTGGAAAACTGTACACCGTTATCTCAAATGATGTGTGTTTGATTCATTTTGTCAGACAGAAACCGTACTTTGAATGCTGTAGAGTCAATGAGCGTTCTTCTTCCAAGCAATGAAACATAATGAAAGCGTCCCGAAACTGCAAGGGAGGTTTCCCAGGAAGCCATGTTTGGGGGTAAAAGCCATGGTTTCAGCAAAAAAAACCTTGAACCAATTTGAACCAATTCATAAAACGATCTTCCCCAGTGCCTCAGCGGATGCCGTGGACGTCTCGGCTGTCTCCGCTGTCTTCACTACGGCGCGGCTCACAGGCGATGGCCGCACCTCGGGCCGTGGGCCATGAATCCGTGGTCCAATGGGGAAGCAAGACCATCCTGGGGAATTCGACCAATGTTGGTTGAATAAATGTGCGACCCAACTCAACCAAGATGTTAGCACTGCCCTGCAAACCATGGCACTAGGAAAACCAATTACAGATGGCGGACGTGTCATTGCCATATGAAATCAAAAATATTGCTGTAAAATAGCTCGGCCAATCCTGGAACTGGGATATGAATCCCTGGATTTTTGCCTGTCCTGATGCCATTTTTTGTTGCCATTCGGTGCTTCCCTGGGACCTTCCCCGGATGTCGTGACCCGCGCCTTGACCGACCAGAACTGGCCCAGAGCAAAGGCTGCGCCATAAATCCCCGCGACCAAGGCCAACCTAGGTCGGGGCAAGTGATCCAAAAATTGGAGAGCTAGAGATTACAAGATATTATTACCCTCTCGTGAACTAACATTGCTATGGAAAATGGCAATCTATAGTTGATTTACCCATTAAAAATGGTAATGTTCCATAGTTATGTTAAATTACCAGAGGGTAGAGATCATTAGAGCTATACTTTCAAAAAAAAATGAGTGTTGTCTAAAGCGGTATGCTTCGCGTTTATGAATTGGGGCAATGGTGAGCGATTCGCATCAAAAAAAAAGTGATCTCTGTTCCAAGGTCTTGGGCCGCCCGATATGAAATGGCTTGGAGATAGGTACCATCACTGGGTAATGCAATTATATGTATATAGGATATCCATATTATATGGGATATAGGTGACATCAATGATATTAATGATATCAATGATATCCATATTATATGTGTATCTGCATAAATTGTGGGTAATGCAATTATTATGTGCAACTATAATAGTATGGATTGCTGTGGATAAAAATGCCATTTCCCATACGGAATATCATTTGTTTACATATACATATATAATCATATATATGTATGTAATGATATATGATGCATGATATATGATATTTACTTGTTTATTCATTTATTTCTATATATATATAAATCTATCTATATATATATTAAATATATATATATATTAGTTTATGTTATTTTATTTTATGTTATTATATTATATCATATTATATTATATCATATTATATTATATCATATTATATCATATCATGTTATATTATATCATAGCATATCATATTATATTATACTACAAATGATGTGTGATATGTATATATATATATATATGGATAAATTATGACAATTCACTAACCGGGATGATTCCCCTTCTTAACCATCAAATCATCATTCCAGCGAGATCCCGACGTTAGCAGATCCATTCTTTCTAATCCATCAGGTTTTGGAGATATTAATGTCCCTCTCGTTATTGCACCATATCCCATGGGTCCCATGAGCTTTACAAGTTAAGTCCACGGTGATGCACGCTCAAATGTCTACTGTTCTATCAGGAATCAAAAGGGTCAAAACTGGCAATATGGATCTAAATTCGATACCTCATATGTCAAAATCGGACGTAAAAATGGACCAATGTGTGGTCACATGGCACAGCCCCATCTTCCCAGACGAGAACCACACACTGGGAGGCTGCGCAACCTGTGGGGAGAGTCGGCATAGTTGCATAGCTGGAAGAGATGATGCTTAATTATGTCTTTGGTCTTTGATGTTTTTTGTGTTTTTTTTTTGGAGGGAATTTCATGGATTTTGTTTTTGAATGGATCGTTGGGATGCCATACCATGGAAGTCGTGACCCATCGTGACCCTTCGACCACTGGCGTCCACCAAAGGAAGCTTCGCACCTCAGAATCTTTCCGCGACGCAACATGGCACGGCTGATGATTCTCAATCCTTTTTGTGATCCAAAGTGACTCCCGTAATGTTCCTGAGTGAAATCTGACTTTGGCTTGCAGATGTTGTTGAAAAAAGTTTGCCCTGAGTCCAATCTGACTTTATTCTCCGAGCCAAAAGCTGTGGTCGTCCCAAAAAAGCGCCCGATCCAGCCCTGGGAATCTGAGCTGGTCACAGCACCCCCGAATGGCGGGTGGTTTCGCGATCATTTTCTTTGTTGAAACCACCGTTTGTATGTTGCTCCACTGAGATGAACATTCAAGTCAGACTTGATTCGATGATCCTTGAAGCTACAAATGGTTTGGAAAGGAGTATACCTCCCCACATGTATCCCAGTCACAACGGGTTATGCCGCAGCCATGTTACCATACCGGATCATCCAATGTCGCGCCCAACCATTCCCAGTGGGCAAAAAAAGTCATTGCTGCAGCCCATATATACCCCATATACTCATAATATGCAAATATCAATACTAACTATTAAACATACTTACACCTGATTTGGCAAAATTACGTTAAAATGGGAGATAGATGAAATTAGACATCATATGACATAATTATCATTAAACATATATACCCTCTGGTAAATAAACATAGACCCTGAAAATCACCAATTTTTAATGGAAACTAGTCTTCCAACCCCTATCTGCCAGGGTCTATGTTAATTTACCAGAGGGTATATATATATTACGTTTTGTCCATATCATTGCCATTGGGTCTTCTTGAACTTACGACATCAACTGGGTCCCATTGCCACCCGCCTCGCCTCAGCTCCCATTGCTGCGGACCGGTGGCACGCAACGCACAATTCAACTGAGTAACTGATCTTTGCTTGAATATGTCTATGTATACATTGTATATTATATATCGTATATCATTAATAATCATTATGAATAACATTGTATACAGTATTATATATATATATGTATATCATGAATAATTATTATGAATACTATTATCAGCACTACACTATTGCGTATGTCATATTTGATCATTGTCAATTGTCCAAGAGTCTCGTTTTTTGGGATCACACTGAAGATCTGACAGAATCGTGCTTTCGGCGTCCCCTTCTCCCTGTGTTTGGCTGCTTGTATTCCCTGGAGACATTCAGCACCATCACACAGAGCCATAACTTGCAGAAAGTCCAGGCTGGTCAGTTGCCGCTTCAAAGACATCGACATTCATCAAATGGTCTTTTAACTGACCTGATCCGCAAGTGCAGCTCTGCATCAGCAAGACAATGATTGATTTTTTTTTGGGGCACAACGTCATAACAATATCTCAACTGGCCTATCGCTGTGGTGATGTGGCGCTGCAACCTCTTTTGCAACTGGGAAGCTCTGAGAGCACTAAAAATTCACCATCCACATTGGCGGAGGCGGCGCGAAATGCTCGCAGCTTCAAAGATACATGGGTTTGTCCCAAAAAATAGGGTATCCCCAAAAAGACCCTCACATATCATATCATATCATATCATATCATATCATATCATATCATATCATATCATATATGTTCCCATGGAAATCACCACAAATTTGGGGGGCATACCCCGTTCTTGGATAAAGCCCACATACCAGGTATAAGTCACCCTGACCCAGATCGGGGTGGAGGGAACCGCCTTAGGCGACCCCGAATGGAACCTGCTGGTGCCAATCTCTCAAAAACCTCGAGTGATGTTTGGATGATCGATTCACCTAAATAAAAATGGACCTTTGGAACCAACCAAGCGGGTTGTTCATGATCCCATTGGTCCTAATGTCACCGGGCCCTCACCGGCCCTTGATGAGTGGGAACTCTGACAACTTCACCGCAGAGAGTCGCCCGAACGCTTCCGCCGCATGTCCCGTGCGAATACGCGAGAACCTGGGACGAGGGAAATGTGGATCGAAAAAGCGAGATTAGAACTTGCAGCCCATAGTACAGTAGCCCCCGCTTCTTGGGAAATCTATGGGATTTCAATAGATGGAGTGGGAAAATCTAGAGGCAAAATTGATGTCTGTCAATTGTCCATGTATTTTCCCAGAATTTCCCATCAATGTTCCCTTCAACCAAGTCAGTGTTTCTAGTGACAGGCTCCCACCTATGCTGTGATGATCAGTATGGCGCGCTGCTCCGACTGTGAGGATTCATATCTTGTAGGCGACTGTGGCCACAAGGCTTAGTCGATGCAAATCAAGCGTGTTGAATTCGGGGCGTCTACAAATCCCAATCTGTATCCTTATCTTATCACAATTCAAAGGGAATAGTCGAGAATATGATTTTCCGATTTTGACCATGGATACCATGGGCTGGTTTTCGCCCCATCTTCCAACTTTTGAATGGACTTAGTGTGTCTTTTTTAAATAAACAATCATTCCTGGTAAAGAACAGTGTCTCTGAATTGTCCAACTCTTCAAGACAAGTGATAAACCTGGGTAGAAACCTCGGCTCTTAAAGATCCCTACCCTCTGGTAAACAAACAAAAAGCTATTGAAAATGACCATAGAAATAGTGGATGTTCCCTTTAAAAATGGTGGATCGTTCCATAGTTTTTTGTTGGTTTACCAGAGGGTAACCAGGATCCTATTGGGCTTTTGTATCCCTGAGACCTGTCGGCGAGGGACTCTGCATGAGTGATGACACCATCACCCTTCTGGTCAATGATGGAAAACAGCTCCGCGCACGCGCCAAAATATCCGGCCTCGCAGGTGAAATCAGCCGACCAAAGTTACGCTCCGCTCATGCGGATGCAAAAAGAAGGATAATAACATACAGCTTTGTATCACAATATATACATACATATTATATATATCATATATATATATATGTCATGTATATATATATATATCATATATATATATCATATATATATATATATCATATATATATATAAAGACGAATGATATATACAAAATCAACCGAGGACACTGTATTAATTATAACTATGTATGCACCGACCAGCCCGCCAGGTGCGTGGCAGCCTGCTCTAAACCCTCGCTCCACTCGTCCTGGGGGCAGCAGGAATATATCGGATCTTGGATCAACCGGAGACAGCAGGCCTCCCCATCGATGGTTAATAGATGGTTATTGTATGGTTATTATATGGATTAATATGGTTAATATATGATTAATAGATGGTTAATTAATATATGGTTAATAAATATGGTTAATATATCAATGGCCATGACTCAGGAACCGATTGATTGGAGCTAGCTACCATATATAAGGCCTATTTTTTAGGCCTTTTTTTAAGGGAATATCCCCACAAAATAGTCCCATTGATCAATGATTCCGTACTAAAAAGCTTGCAGGAAATGAAGCCATCCATGTCAACGGTCATCCCGAACCAGCTTTTTTCATCGCTCCTGCGACAACACGCCATCCAAGTTCTTCTCCCAGGTTTTCCATGCCTCCACTGAAACTATCACAGTTTCCTCATGCTCAGTATGAAACCATCCAATTTTGAGGGATCCTTTCTGAATTTCTCTTGAGCCAATCAAAAAAAAAAAATGGAAAAAAAAACCCTGCAGAAATCGCACTCAACCCATGGTCTCCATAGTCTCCAGCGCCTTTTCTAAACCACCGAAGTGCCATAAGATGAAGCTGTACAACTCGTTGGTCTGGCCAGGACACGATTTTCCGGGATACTGACTGGCACTAGAGTTGTCAGGGTCCATTTAGACATCGATTTTAGGTACGCAGATCATTGAGCTGAAGATACCTTGGCCATGGCCATGTTCAACCGCAAGAATATTATTCCAAAGCAATAAAAAAAAGAAAAACTAACTGATGATATTTGTCAGTGCCCCATCTTTCATTTCAGAAAGGTCATGCTGTGGCCAGTTGACCTGTTGCATCTCTCAACCAAGGCCCTTCTGAGGCACCTGTCTATCAAGTTCGGCTTTCACGGTCTCCAGATAGGCCCACTCCTGCCACAATCAGCACAAGCTGACTCTATTCAGGACCTTCCCTAGAGGCCCTAGCTTCAATTTCATGCCGCCATCAGAATCGATGAAAGCATCTCTGTGCAAGTGGCCCTGAGGCACAGCTTAGATTCACTTCTCATTTTTGAGAGCTGTCCCAAGCAAGAGTAGCAAGTATAACAAACATAGTCTAACAAAAATAATATGGTTCTATAATGTTATATATACATAGTATACATACAAAACAATAGTCTAACATAGTTGCCCAATAAATCTTGAGATGTTGCTGCGGAACCATCCCAAAAAAAAACAACAATCAACATGAACAACGGCTACCTGAGGCGCTCGTCTTCCCAACAAACGGGAGAAATCATGCGCCCCATTCGAGTTGTCATACATTAATGGAGACAATCTATGGTTAATGATGGTTATTGTATGGTTAATATATGGTTAATTAATATGGTTAAGGATGGTTAATATGGTTAATTAATATTATTAATATGTTGTTAATAGATGGTTAATAGATGGTTAATAATATTTAATAATATTTAATATTGGGGCCAAAAAATGAACAGTTGCCATTTTTATCACCACTCTGTGTCCATTTTATATAAACCATGAGTTCCCACATCCGTCGTCCGTTGCAGCCTGCAATGAGACGTTGCCCTCTTGCGTGGCATCCAGGTGACGGAAGATGGCTCGGAAACCTCGGGGCCCCCGAAATATGGCTGGAAAACATTGGTCATTGGATTGGTTTTGTTGGGAAAATCTACAGGAAACCATGGTTTTTACCATCAAATTTGATGGGCTTTCCGGTTAAAATTTTCCCATCATCCAATTCTATGAACATTGGAAAGTAAGCCATGTTGGGAGTATGGCAGACGTATTATGGATAACATATATATATATAACTGGAGGTGTAAAACAAGCCATCTTTTAATGGAATATGATGGGAATTTTTGTTGGAATGTAATGATGTCACCAACAATAAGATGATACTGTTTGTGGGGAAGATGACGATGAATTGGAGGTCACCCCAGGGATGGAAATTGAGATTTTTCACCCGGCTCTGCAAACTGAGATGTTCCGTATTTTCCAGCACAACAGCAGCGATTCTTGTGAATTTCTGTGCTTTAACAAGCCAAGAATAGGGAGATCAGCATCGATCACTAACCAAAGTGTTTTTTTCCATTGTTGGTGAGCTTTTTCAGGAAGCAACCATGGGTATCTGATTCGTTACCTTCTGGCAATCAAACATGGCAATGGAAAGTCTCCCATTTACAGTTGGCTTTCCCACTAAAACCTCCTTTTATAGAGGATGTTCATGGATACTGACATATGTTCCCATGAGTTTTCAATTCAAACCCCCATTTATAGGGGATTTCTCAGCGTACCATGTTTGATGACACCAGAGGGTGTCAAGATGTTGATATTTTTATGTCACAGAGGATGTTGCTTCAACGTGAGATGACCTGAGCAGTCCAAGGCCAGCAACATCTGCATATATAACCCTATTAGTATATATACATATATATATATTTACTATTACTATATATATATATATTACTGTTACTATATTCTTATTATTATGTATTTACATGCAATTCTACGTACCTATATGAAGTTGTATGTCACTACATGTACTGAAATATGTAATTCTACACATGTCATTTACTCGGTGTATACGCAGTGTCTTTCTACATTGGCATCTGTGATGAGTTCGGAACGCTCTCGTCGATTCTTTGCGAAGCGAGAGTCCTCCAACCTGCAGGGTGCGAAGCGGGAAGTTCAGGAAAACTACGATGTATGGATTACCCAATGCATTATAATATATCATCATCATCATCATCATCATCATCATCATCATCATCATCATCATCATCATGTATACAGTGAAAAATATGTCCCCTCAATGATACACGATATATGTCCATCTGAATTATACCTCCTAGTATGGGAGGTTCCTGCAGTTCTTCTTGTAACCCTTTTGTGAGGATAGAAATACATGGACCCCTGTGAACGTTGGCATTTGTGGTGTTCTCGAGGATACCCAGCCGGTTCCAAAGTCCCGGATCATGCGACCTGTCACAGTATTCCTCGAACTCGTGCAAGGAGATGCCACCTGAGGCGGGAATTCAGCCCTTAGTTTGGAGACCAACAAAAAAAACAAGGCAAGTTGGGCAAGCAGCTACTTTGAGCCGATCCCAAATAGAAGGGTCATCCCTTCATGTTGAGAGAATGAAATCCCCAATGAACCAGGGTGAAAATTAGACCCCGCCCAATAACAACCATAGATTTTGGTCAGCAAGGATTTTGGTCACTGCGCATATCTACAACTTTGACAAAGACATCCATTTGGTACAGGTTTTTCAAACAATGGCACTCTCCGAGCACGATCGGCATCTGAACCTCGCTAGGATGCCGCACCATTACCACTGCCATCCCCATCGATGTCCCGAAAGGCTTGCTTGAGGTCACCCACGTATTTGGCATCCAGCAGCTGGACGGGTTCGTCAGCCCGTTTCAGGGGAAAAGCCGCCAGGTTTGACCAACAGCATGATTCGAAGTAACAAAAAGGGTCTTGCTGGTTTAGTTGCTATGGTTTATTGCGATTTTTGATCGTGTTTTCCAGGAGGGATATTCTTGTTGTGCTTTTGATACTAACAATCCAACATTTACGAAGCCTGGAAACTGAAAATTTGGTATTTATTTACCCCCAATATATGCTATTAACAATCGGGAAAATGAGGATCGACCATCACATTTTGCTGGAAAAACTTATTTTCAAACGAAGCCGCATGGTGTATACTGGACCTAAGGTACTAAGGTACAGTGACAGCAACCCGGACAATGCCATGCTGCATGACCCACCAAGAGCTTTAAGTCAGAACCCCACCAATCGGGGAGTTTCCGCCACGGGTTCACTTACTGTCATTGCGGTACCCCAAGCAAATCGGATGGTTGAAAGAGATCGGCAGAAGTAAAAACTGAAAAACAAAAAAAAAAGCTGAAATCTACCTCAAAAATCCTCAAAATTCAATGAATTCAAGGGTTGAGCCATGACATGAGCACTGCCATGGGTCAATCTCGCCTCAATGAAACGAATGATGTCCAGACTCACATCTGAGAGGATGGACCACCACTCCACGTCCTGGAGAGGCTGTTGGGAGCATCACTTTTTGGGGAAGCTGTGTATGCTCATCTGGTGCTGTGTGTGTGTAAAATATATATATACTGATATGAAGTAGTATATGAATAAAAAATAATTCTATACATACATATATATATATCATGGGAGGCGTAATACATATATTTATACATATATATATGTGTGTGTGTGTGATACCGTTTATGAAATATCATATTGTGGTATATTGTGGTTACAATATGGGATATGCAATATGATATGTAGCCCCAGTTGGGATTCCCAGCACCATTTTTTTAAATCGCTCAAGCAGATTGAGGGTCTAAGGGTCAACTTGGGTCCAACGAGAAAACCATATTTCTTTCAGTGTGTTGAAATGATCCAAAAGCATCGTCATCCCAACATCAAGATGATGATTCATGATGATTCGCTATGATTTTCTCTAACATCCGCATGCATTTTATATGTTTCCCAGTCCACCACACCTCTTGCTTCAGGGCCGGGGTCTTCCAGCGCCTTGGGAGTGAATCATTGCTGGTCATATTTTGAAAGGGGAAACCATCGCTTTGAGAGTTGCCGATTCTCCAAAATTTGGGAAACACCAACTAGGTAAACTAGGTACACTGGTACTCTTAAGCCCAGCTTTTTCGGGGTGTTCTGGTGATTTCGGAACACTGCAAGCAGTGAATACCTTCAGATGTGGCCCTAGGATCGCCACCCCACTGTGGAGAGGAACTCCATGCGAGTCTTCAAGTTGCGCTTCTGCCGCACACGCACAGGTGCAAAAAGGGCAGCCAGAGTCAAGAGTTGACAGACTGAATGATCCAAAGATGCAACAAATGTAGATCTATCACCCATTACTCCACCAAGAAGTTCAAAATGTTCTAAGTAGATCCCATGTTTTTAATGTGTGTCATTGGCTGTTTGTCATTTGGTGGTTTCCTAAGATGAAGGATCCCCAAACCATGGGTTGCAATACTAAAATGGTCATCCATGACTTGGATGATGAACGGGGGTACCCAAAAAACAAAGTTGCACCTCCGGCGCCACCAGGTACTTGGCCCGGAAGTTCCCTGCCTCAGTCGGAACATGGATCTATGTGGGCATGTCTCAAAATTGGGAACACAAAACCATTGGTTTCCTCGAAAATGACCAGTAACTTCAGTATATGTTTTTCAAGTCCGCAGATCTTTTATACAAATCCCATCATCAAAGATATGGAGGGGCTCCATTTATGTACATTGGGGGGGGGTAGGATCCAATGGAAAATCCGAAAATCCCCAACCAAAAATGCTGGAAAGTCATCCAACCTAAATGTTCTTGAGTCGTAGCTCCTCATCATCATCATCAGGCCTTCCAATAAATGATGGGCTAATTACCCCAATAGCTGGATGGCTGGGCGCCCCAACCCGAGGGAGGTCTGAGTATCTCGCCCAGGCCCTAGGGACACCTGGACAAAAATCCACCGAAAATGCTGGCTCTTCAGGGGAAAATCATCCATAAATTGGGAAAACACATAGAGAAGTGTGGAGAAAATAGAAGGCAATACCCTATGAATGGAGGTTTGAATGGGAAACTCATGGAAAATCATCTAGTCCATTGCCATGTTTCATTATCGGTGGGTATTTCATTGAAAAAAAAAGGTTGGATTTTCACCTACACACATCGTGGAAGGATTCCTCGTGGCCACGAAGCATGCCTTGCCTGTGACCAGTTCATCTTGAGTTCCATCCTGTGCCGAAAACTCATATCATATCTTGTCCAGGTGTGGATCAAATCAACTCGAGCTTGAGACTTGCTGAGACTCGCTGGGACTCGCTGAGACTCGCTGGGACTCGAATGATTTCAAGGTTCCAATATGTTCCAATTGGTCCTCTCGAATGTAGCGGGGCTCTGCTAGAAAAGCTCCCTCTTTCTGGTACAGCCTCAGTGCACTGAACATCTTCGCACAAGTTTCCTTCTGTTCCCTGTTTCTTCTACAGACCTCACGATTTTTTCGGTGGGTGAAACACAATTTCAAAACTATTGGTGATGTCTCACAATAAACATATACATATATATATATGTACATGCATATATATGTATATATATACATATATATATAGATACATATATATATATATGTACATATATATATACATATATATATATACATATATATATATACATATATATACATATATATATACATATATATACATATATATATATACATATAAATATATATATATACATATAAAATATATATATACATATATATATATTACATATATATATATACATATAAATATATATATATACTGTGATTCAATATCATTGCATTACCTTTCCACCTCATAATCCCAAGGTCAATAACCAGTGTAAGAAAGGGGTAAACAAGACCACTTGTCCGCCAGCACTCAGGGGCTCAGGAGGGCCATAAGGGTTTTGCCGGTGGGAGGGTTTCTTCCAGTGCATTTGAGCCATAGACTTGAGCGTGGACGCTCACCTGTTTACTGCTTTGGCCCGGGGCCATACCATTTGCCAGGAAGGCAACCTAATTCTACCTGCAGGTCAGCCGACCACCTTTTGCCTGGGAGCCTTTTGCTCCATTCGAGCTGCCGTGGACTTGTCGCCTTTGTTGGGGAAAAGAAGGCGCACAGGCCTTGCACTTTGGGAGGAGGAACGGAAGTCCGTTGCCAGTGTTGAGATCTCAAGGGACTCACATTGGTAGCGGAGCTCAGCTCCAAGCTGAGCATCCAGGGAGGACTTGGTGGTGGAGATGCCTGAGACCTCAGATGGCTCTGATGGATCCACTGCCAGTACTCTAGTGCCCAATCAAATCGCCAATTTGGTACCTACGTTTGACCCCGCCAAAGATGATCTCACGGACTACACCAAGAAAGTGCAACTGCTCATGAACATGTGGCCTGATGGAAAGTGGACGGAATTGGCAACCAGGTTGATCTTAGGATGTACCGGAACTGCATTCCAGAAACTACAACAGAAAAGTGCTGAGATTACGGTGAACGACAAGAAGTCCATACAACAAATAATCGAACTGCTGGGAGGCCAATGGGGCCAAATACCACTGGAGAAGAAGTACGAATCAGCAGAGCGCGCATTGTTCAGATGCACGCAGCGCCAGGATGAAACAAACGACAGTTATCTGGCCAGAGCGGATGTTCTCTGGCAGGAATTGCTGAACAAGGAGTTCAAACTGGAAGAGCTGCAGGCTTATATCACTTTGCGTGGTTCGAATCTCAGCCCTGATGACAAAAAACGTGTGGTGATCGACAGTCAGGTGAGTTCAGACGGCAAGCTCACGATCCCTCGTGTGTCAGCTGCAATCAGAATGCTTGGTGCCGGCTTTTTCCATGAAATCACAGCCGGAAAGAAACCTGGTAGACTGAAAACGTATGATGCCACAGCAATGCTTGCAGATCAGACGGAAGATGATGATGAAACATCTCATGCCATGCTTGCCGAATCACCTGATGACATTCCGGAGGATGAAATGATCGACACCTTGGTTCAGGAGGGTGACACCGATGCAATTCTGGTAGCAGATTTTGAAGCTGCAGCCACGGACGTGCTCCAAGGCGACGAGGAACTGGCCAGTGCGCTGAACGCGTACACTGAGGCGCGAAGACGCTTGAGTGAGAAGGTCAAGTCCCGTGGGTTTTGGCCGCTTTCCCAGAACTCTAAGGGTAAATCCAAGGGGTATAACCGAGGGGTAAAGGGGAAGTTCCAAAAGGGTCACCACTCCAGCAGAAAATCCCTTCAGCAGCGCATTCTGAGCTCCAGCTGCAGATTGTGCGGCAAGGTAGGACACTGGAAGGCAGAATGTCCATCCAGAAGTGAATCTGCTGGATCAGCCCGACCGCAAGCACCCACGTCGTTTGTGCAGATGCAAGAGGAAAGCGATGGCTTACCTCTCGAGTTCCTGAATCTGCCAGCCTTTGAGAGCGCAGTGGATGTGCCTTCAACACATGTTAGCCAGTGTTTTGTATGTTATCCTCAAAAGCCAGGTGACATGAATGCCAAAGCTAGACTGGTAGAGACTCTGAAAAGATGGAAAACCATGCCTTCATGCCATGCCGTGCCCAGGACCCATGAAGCTCAGAGTTCATCGAGGTTGTCGAAGCCGAACCAGTCAGTACCTTTGCAGTCCAAGCCTTCCCGAAATGCCGAACTGAACCTGCCAGGGGAACATGCCGCCATGTTTGCCACGTATAGCTGTATGGGTGTAGTGGACCTAGGTGCAACGAAGACTGTGATTGGTAGCAATTTGGTTAAAGATCTTTTAGATGGACTTACCCCAGCTGCCCGTCAATCAGTCAGAAGATGCCCATGTCCCATCACCTTCAAATTCGGTAACCAGGGAACACTTAAGAGTGAGCATGCTTTAGCCATTCCCATTCATGGTTTATGGTTAAAGATCGCAGTCGTGCCAGGGTCAACACCATTTCTTTTGTCAAACACCCTGCTGAGAGCAATTGGGGCAGTGATAGATACCAGCAAAAAGACTATCTATGCAGCCAAAATTGGAAAAACAATCCCCATTCAGCTCACAGGAAAAGGGTTGTTTCTTTTGGATCTTAATGACCTAGTGGATACGACCGTGTCCAAGCATGCTGCCGAAACGCACCAAGTGTCCGAAGTGACCAAAAATGTGCCTGCTGAGAAATGTACAGAGCCGCAATATCCAGAACCACCACCGTCAGTTGCCATTCATGATACCACACACATGCTGCCACCACAACACACCACACACACGGCCACCATGACATGTCCAACGCCACATGACACAACTCAAAGCTCAAGTAAATCCCAAGCCAACATGACTGATGAGTTTTTTCCAGCCGAGAAAACATGTACAGAGATGGTGGATCCGCCAGATCCTCACAGCTCAAAGCATACGCAGTTTGCCCGTAGTCTCCGAGTTCCAAAGCGACATGGCAATGTCCAACCTGTGCCAGAGACTGAAGCAGATCCAGGTGCCCACCGAGACCGTGAAGATGGATTTCAGCCACTTGAGTCTCAATCAACTGGAAGAGACGAGGGTAGACTTTGGTCAGGCCCACAGTGGCAAGACCTATCGCGAGATGTGGGTGAATCACCAAGACTGGATCCTGTGGTTCACGGGTCGATACGAGAAATCGGGAAAAGAAAGCCACCAGAAGATGCTCCACTACATCCAACTGATGATCGAGAGAGCCGAGCTGAATGGAACCAATGTGCCGCTGACCAAGGGCACAGCACCCAAGGGCTCAATGGCCATGACCAAGGCCAAAGCCATGCCCAAGAGGGCCATGCAGCCTCCAACAGAGACCACCTCGGTCTGGGATGCGACGGAAGAGGAGTACGAGATCTTCACAGAGGAGGCCGAGATGGGTCTGAGCGTGGCTGCCCCCGAGGGCAACAATCCCGATATCTCGCATCTGGAACATCGGATGCTGCATGTGGAGACAACCTTGTCTCAGATCATCACCCTGTTGGAAAACATCCAACCCAATGCCGAACAGGCGTAGAGACGTGTCCATGCTGGGCACATGCCATGCATGCTGGCGACCTGGATGCCACTGAACATGATAGGTTCATGGAAGCCCCCGAAACTAATGTGGAGAGAAAGTTGTTCAACAAATTACTCATCCAAATGTCTAGGGAGCTTGAAACATGTGAACCGCCAACCAATAGGTTTCAAAAGCCCATTGATGTGTTGGAAGTGTTCTGTGGGCCTCACAGCCAGCTGACACATCAGTGCCAGCAACTTGGGCATCGTGCAATGCGCTTCGGCCTCGCTGAGGGTGATTTGCAAACTGTCGAGGGCAGAGATCGACTGTTTACTGTCCTCAAGACACATCGGCCTCGGCATGTCTGGTTTAGCCCCAAATGCGGTCCCTGGAGTAGTTGGTCTAATTTGAATGGTAGCCGGTCCATTGAGTCATGGGATAACCTTCAACAATGCCGACTCCAACACATAGACCAAGTTGCTTTAGGAATTGTTTTGATGAGGTATCAGAGAAACCAACAGAGGCATTTTCACTGGGAACAACCAAGGAATTCTCACATGTTCAAACTTCCTTACATGCAAGAAATTCGACAGAAGTTACTTGCGTTGGATGTAGACCTTTGCACGGCAGGGGATCTCAAAGATCCTGATACACAGTTGCACATGCGAAAGTCATTGACCATCATGACTTCTTCTCGAGGCCTATATCAGGACCTAGAAGGGCTGAAGTGTCAAGGACAACATCAGCATCAACAGGTGTCAGGTTCTTGCCAAGTGAATGGAAGTTCAATGTTGAGAACCACTTTTACTGAACACTATCCCAGAAAGTTTGCCCGACGTGTGGCCAAGAGCCTATGCCGCCTGCGGATTCCAAATGAGAAACCCTATCTCCTTCAGGAGGAGGAAACACTTTGGTCTTGGACCCTTGCCAACGAATCCGACCGTGGTGAGAGACTGTCCAAACGTCCAAAGCGCTGTTCTCAAGCAAAACTGAAGGTCAACAGAGCACGGGAAGTAGGCCAGCTACCATGGGGTAAACGTTGTAAACTTACCACTAAGACACCTCCAACTGATACCGACACTCAGTGGCAGGAAGTTTTCCAGGGTTTGCAACAGATTGCCCCAAGGGTTGGCAAGGTTGAAGTTCATGACCCCCAAATCACAAGTAAGGTCCAAACACTTATGGAGGGCAAGATAATCCGGAAAATAATCGTGTGCCGTGGGACGAATAGGACTATCGCCCCCCCCCAAACCATGATGAAAGGGGAGGCACCATACCGAAGATGTGTTTTCACAGATAGAGAGTCTGGAAAAATCAAGGCCGAAGAAGCTTGGGAAGCTTGGGAAGAGTTGTCAAACCGACAGCTGATTCGATCGTCACACCCGTGCCGCTTGAATATGACAGTTTTCGCTTGTAATCCCGAAGTTCCAATGGCTGTCGAAACGTCTCGGACAGATGCAACGACACAGCCTCCTAGTAATTCGCAGACCTCCCCAACGGTGGAAACACCAAAAGCCGAGGAGTCGAAGCACTCCCATGCAGAGGACCAGACAAGTCCCAATCCTAAGCTGACCGAATCCCAACAGGCAGATGTAGAATCTCCGACTCAGTCAGCCCATTTCCGGAGTATCACCAAAGATGAACAGCAAGCACTCATCCGTGCACACAAGAACCTAGGTCATCCTCATGCCGAGAAGTTCAGCAGCATCATTCGCCAACAAGGGTTTCGGCCAGAAGTTGCACGTGCAGCACTTGAGATGAAATGCTCAGTTTGCCAGGCTCAGCAGATGCCCAAACATGGACCACATGGAAGCTTGCGTGATGAGCTAGATTTCAACGACCGTATTCATGTGGATGGGTTTTCATGGACGAATGCACAGGGAAAAGGGTTTCATGTGTATCACTTTGTAGATAGTGCCACGAGCTTCCAGGTAGCATGCGTGGCTCCATCCCGCACTGCTGATGCTTTCCTTGAATGTTTCCTGCAGTCCTGGCTGATGTGGGCCGGCACACCTCATGAAGTAGTTGTTGATGCAGGCACGGAACTCAACTCTGAAGAAGTGGCCAGTTTTGCACAGGCTCATAACATACACTTGACAACCATCAGCACGGAAGCCCACTTCCAAAATGGTAAAGCCGAACGACATGGGTATATCTTGCAAAGTATGTTGTCAAAGTATGAAAAGGAACATGCCATTGACACATATCATGAACTGAAACAGGGTTTATGGTGGTGTGTTCAAGCCAAAAATGCCTACAGTATCCGAAAAGGGTATGCACCTGAAACTCTTGTGCTCGGCAAGCAAACACGCTTGCCGGGATCAAATTGCAGTGATGAATTACTGCCTGCTCACATGCTGGCCGACTCCGAGACGGCCCAGGGAGTGCAGTTTAGGTTGCAACTGGCTCGACGCGAGAGCGCCCGGAAAGCTTTCGTTCAAGTGGATCACGATGCTGCCCTCCGTAGATCCATACACAGGAAATCCCAAGGGGTTAACCGAAAATATCTCCCAGGGGAATGGGTTATGGTTTGGCGTCAGGGAAGAGGAGCAGCCAGTGACCAATGGACTGGCCCGATGAAAGTGGTTGTGCATGAAAATGCCCAAACCGTGTGGACCACCATGGCCACAAAGCTTTACCGAGCCGCCCCCGAGCACATCCGACCTGTCTCTGCAATGGAAGCCAAGAGCATTGTGATATTACCCAATGAGCCATCAGTATCGACAATTGCCCAGCAACTGCCATCAAATAACCCTGAACGTCAAAACCCTATAATTACCCATAATCCTCAACCTGATGTAACCCTACCACCAGTCCATAATGTTCCAGATAACACTACACCCCAACCACTCGACCAAGGAATGCTCAATAATCCCGATAACCAATCCGAAGTACAACCTGATGCAGAACCCGGTGCACCAGGAAGCCAACGATCTGAGGGGGGGAGTCAAGGGAGTACCCCGACACGACAGCAGACCAATCCCACAACACCAGGAGGTGTCCTTAACCCAGAACAAGACATGGCACGAGAACACATGGCACAAAACACACCTGTGCCGGCAGAGTCAGGGGAAGAGGATGACTTGGTATGCGAGGGCCTGCATTGCGTGGACGTGGAACCCGAATCCATCCAGCTAGATCACGACCAGGCTTGGCACTGTGCATTCTATGTTCATGAACATGACATTGAAGCATGGAAAAATGAAGATCAGCCTGAGGCATGTGGTTTTCTTGCAACAGCCGCCAAGCGCCAAAGAGCTGAAGTGAAATTAACCACACTCAGTCCTTCTGAAAAGGCTGAATTCCAGAAGGCCAAGGAAAATGAGATCAGTAACTGGTTGAAGACAGGTACCATTTCCAAAATCTTGCGGGATAAAGTACCCCCTGATCAGATCCTTCGATGTAGATGGATACTCACATGGAAACCAATCGATCAACAAGAGAAAGAACAACTCAAAGGTACCAAGGATGTTAAGGCCAAGGCACGGTTAGTGATCCTGGGGTACCTTGACCCAAAAATTGCAGAAGTTCCAAGGGATTCACCAACGTTGGGGAGACATTCCAAGATGTTGCTTTTACAAGTCGTAGCATCCATGGGTTGGAACCTCAGGTCTTTTGATATCAAGGCGGCATTCCTTCAAGGGAAGAACCAGAAAGACAGGGTTTTAGCAATAGAACCAGTTGCCGAAATTATCAATATGATGAACTTGAAGCCCCAAGAAATCTGCAAGTTGGAAAAGGGCGCCTATGGCCTTGTTGATGCACCATACATGTGGTTCCAAGCCATCCTTGAGGAGTTGCTCGGACTGGGATTCGAACAGTCACCGTTCGACCCCTGCCTGTTTGTGCTTCGAAATCCAGACACCTTGTTGCCGGATGGAATCCTGGGTCTCCATGTCGACGATGGCTTGTGTGCTGGAAATGAGAGGTTCAGCCAAAAGATTGACTTGTTGGAAAAGAAGTATCCTTTTGGAACCAAACGGATGGGTCAATTCACTTTCACAGGTATCGACATGCAACAAACACCAGACGGAACAATCCACTTGTCACAATCCAAATACATTCGTGCCATAGAACCAATCAAGATACTACCCGAACGGAGAAAACAACCTGACCAGAAGGTAACTGAGGATGAACGTCAACAGCTGAGAGCCCTCATTGGCAGCATTCAATATGCGGCAGCGCACACCCGGCCAGATTTGTCAAGCCGACTGAGCATGCTCCAATCAGCCATCAACAGCGCCACCATTGAGACATTAGTCTCAGCCAACCAAGCACTTCACGAAGCAAAGAAACACCATGATGTGACCATAAGAATTCAACCAATTTCCACCAAAGACTTGCGATTCCTTGCGTTTTCAGATGCTTCCTTTGCCTCAAAGAGTAACCCGAACTCTCATACTGGTACTTTGATCATGGCCACCCACAAAGACATTGGATGTAACACCAGGTGTCCCGTAAATCCGGTGTCATGGGGTTGTAAGAAAATACAACGAATAGTTACCAGTACTTTGGCAGCCGAAACCACATCGTTGAACTCAGTACTAGACCAGTTGTCCTGGGTAAGACTTTGCTGGGCATGGATCCAAGGCCCACGAACACCATGGAAAGATCCCAAACTTGCTTTTGAAAAACTTCCAGAAACTTACACCACTGCAACCCTGAAGGCACAGGAGCTTCCCGAAACGTTTGCAGCAACCGACTGCAAGTCCTTGTTTGATTTGGTGACTCGCACAGCAGTGCCAAACTGTGCCGAATTTCGCACTCAGCTGACTGCACGTGCAATCAAAGATCTCATGTCCGAAGGGGTATCTTCTGAGATGGGTTCACAGTGGAGCCCAATTAGCTGATGCACTTACTAAGGTAATGGAAAATACCTTTTTACGTGAAACCCTAAGGATAGGTCAATACAAACTTCATGATGAACTTGAGGTCCTGAAAAGCCGTGCGTCTTCGCGCAATCGACTCCGATGGCTGAAGGGCGAGAGCACCCATCAACATGGCTCAGGATGCAATGATACATGTTTCCTTGAAAATTTCGATTTTTTGGGAGTGTGATTCAATATCATTGCATTACCTTTCCACCTCATAATCCCAAGGTCAATAACCAGTGTAAGAAAGGGGTAAACAAGACCACTTGTCCGCCAGCACTCAGGGGCTCAGGAGGGCCATAAGGGTTTTGCCGGTGGGAGGGTTTCTTCCAGTGCATTTGAGCCATAGACTTGAGCGTGGACGCTCACCTGTTTACTGCTTTGGCCCGGGGCCATACCATTTGCCAGGAAGGCAACCTAATTCTACCTGCAGGTCAGCCGACCACCTTTTGCCTGGGAGCCTTTTGCTCCATTCGAGCTGCCGTGGACTTGTCGCCTTTGTTGGGGAAAAGAAGGCGCACAGGCCTTGCACTTTGGGAGGAGGAACGGAAGTCCGTTGCCAGTGTTGAGATCTCAAGGGACTCACAATATACATATATATATATATACATATACATATATATACATATATATATATTGTATATATATAATGTGTATATATATATTATACATACATTATATGATGTATATATACATATATATGTTATTATGTATTCATGTATATATATATATAATGTTTAATTTTATTATATATACATATTACATACATAAATATTATATATATATATATATAACAATTATAACACATCTAAAAACGATTTACCCACGATTTACCCTGGTTCAATCCCACTACTGAGGCCTCCGGCGCCATCAAAACGGTCAGAGCCAACTTGTGATCGTGGACCGAGAAGTCCAGCTCAATCATGGCCTCGCTCATAGGAAATCCAACAATGGACGATTCCTATTGACATTAGTAACTATTGCATTAACTATGGTTAATATTAACAATAATTAGTTACTATGGTTATTAACAATAGTAGTGGATAGTAATAGTTTCTGGCGGGACCACAGGTCGCCCGGCTGTTTGCTTGTGTGGGGGGGGGGTTGGGGGGGGTGGGGGGTGGGGGCGTAATTACGTTCCTTTTTCTGCGTTCGCCTGGACTTTTTTTTTGTAGCTATTTTTATGTTACGCTTGCACGCTGCCTCATCATCTTGCACGCAACACGTCACGCTACGCTTGCACGCTGCCTCATCATCTTGCACGCAACACGTCATGCTACGCTTGCACGCTGCCTCATCATCTTGCACGCAACACGTCATGCTATGCTTGCACGCTGCCGCATCATCTTGCACACAACACGTCATGCTACGCTTGCACGCTGCCGCATCATCTTGCACGCAACACGTCATGCTACGCTTGCACGCTGCTTCATCTTGGCATCAAGCTTGGATGACTGCTGGCAAACATCTGCGCATCAAATGCTATCAGGTGTCACACCAGCGAAACGAGTTTTGCCGCTCTCTCTCCGAAGTTGACCCCAAGCTTTCCAAGAAAGCTGGAACACAAGTCATTGACAGAAAGTGGAAGGCATTGAAAGACTTTTTGCCAAGCAACTACCACCGAAAGATCAATGGCCCACATGGCAGCCAGGTTAACCCTCTGATGAGAAAGCGTGTCTTTCAGTTTTGCTGGCGCAATTCGCTGCAATCGCCCAGCCCAGCACAGTTCTTAAAACACCTGGTAAAGTTGCAATGCAAAAAAAAATGTAGCGGCGTTAGTTTGCAGGATGATGAAAACTTGCCACCTTTGCCTGACGTCTGATTTCCAATGGGCAGAATACCTGGATAATGGTTTCGCAACCAGGCGACTCATGGTCCCGTGACCTAATAGTTAATAGGAAACCCAACAATAGTAATAGTAATTGCTGGGTTAATATTACTATTACCATGGACAATACCATTACCATCAATAGGATATACTATGATAATACAGGATTATGGGATTATATTACTATGGTTGGTTAATAGATAGATAGCTAGTTGTGGCTAGTAGGTAATTAATGGATCATCCAACAGTAAAATGGAAATCCAACAAGAGTCAATGGATCATCCGCATTTTTTTGGGGTAGTATAATCCAATGTGAAAGGCCACCAAATACAGGATGGGTACTGTATCCAAGCAGTGGTCCTGATTCTATGCCAAGCAGATTGGGGTGGATTGAAGATGGACTCCTTTCACAAGAACAGTGTGGCGACATACTACCCTTCACATCCAAGCAAAAAAAACCACGTGTGCCACCGTCAAAAGATGGTGTATGTATGTATATGTGGTAATTGTGGTCATGCATCCCACCATGGGAATCCAAACCTCATCCTGTTCAAGGTACCCCTGTGCCCTCTTCCCATGCCATGCGCTGCAGCCTGTTCAGGTTGGATGTAGGGAAAGAACTTCGTAGGCCCCAGTCGCTCCCTCGCTCAGAAAATCCGAAAAAGGAGGTGACATCTTATGTGACCAATTAGGACCCATCCTCCTCAAAAAAAACAAACTATCTCAACTGTTCTTGTCCACATGATCTGAGGTCGCGCACATCAAGACATCAAACTCTGCACCTCGGCAGAATTGAACTCATCCGCCACAACGGAAGGTGGCAACGGGCCCTGCTGGGCTTCTCTGAGGCCAAAGGCTGGAAAAGCGGGCGCGGCAAACCTTCACGTTCCAAATGTCCGCCAACCTCTTGGGTCACTGGGCTAAAAACTTGGTGATCAGTCTTTTTTTGGTGTAAATCTCAGTGAATATCATGCATACTATTTACCCCATAACCACTGAGGGGGATGGATGATATTCTTCTGGGAAATATACTATCCATCCGAATCTTGGTGATCAGTGGTTATGGGGTAATGGTGTCCCCAGAAAATTGTTTCTACATTTCGGGCAAGCCCTATATGTAAAAGACCAACAAGTTCATTCCCTGAGTCGGTGATGTGAGTGATGTGCTTAACCCGCAGACATCAGATTTCTATCCTGCATATTGGGATTTGCACAACAAAACAGGGGGTAACATGGGGTAGCCCAGCAGAGTCAAGAAATGGTTGAAAACCGATGATTGATGCTTATCTGCAAATTACCCTCTGGTAAACAAACATAGCTAATTGAAAATGGCCATAGAAATAGTGGATTTACCCATTGAAAATGGTGATTTTCCATAGTTTTTTGTATGTTTACCAGTGCCACGAATGTTGGAAACCATCACGGCCAGCATCCCCACTGACAAAGGGTTGATCAAAAAATATCGGCCTATCCGCTGCTTTCAAACCCGAAAGTTCTCATCAAAACAGCTCCATTTCGGGGTTGAAATAGCCATATTTCCCTTGGGCAACGGGTGCCAGGAGATGATGTGGAGTGCCTGTAGTAAAAGATGTGAAATAGCTGGATCCGTGCCTGCGAGACACGTTCGGATGGCATGTGGATTCTACTTGGGCCAGGGCGGGAAATGGATGGAAATGGATTGGAATCCCAAGATTTTCATCGGCGATACTTAGAACTGGGTTTTGTTTGTCAAGCCCCCATCCAAAATCGATGGACCCGAGCCCGCCTCACTGTCCCAGATCGCCCCCAGAAGCCTCAGTTTCAGAGGCAGAACTCGGCTATGCCAAAATGTCAGAACTCATTGGGGTCTCCCACTTTGACCAATCTGAGGTCATCAAGGTCGTCTAAGGGTATTCAAATAGTGTGTAGCAATGGGCTTAAGAAAAAAAACGTGCGTTTCTTGCATCCATTTATCCAGTTTTGGGGCGTCAATCATTTTCATATCATGTATACAATGTTCTACACAGCTCAGTTCCACTCAGTGCCCCAAACCAGTCGTCCCCATGTCCGAAGGGGTCCTGCACTTTTGGTTGTTCAAACAATTTCTTCAAGTTGTTTAGTTTTGCTTCAAAGCGCTTTGTGCTGATATTTTGCTGAGAATTTAAAAAAAGTCAAATGCCAACTGCCCTGATGTAAATAAACATAAATATGGACAACCGCCATGGTTTCCACACGAAATGATCTACAAATATATATATATATACAGTGTTTAAATGGTGGATGTTACATAGACTGTACATCAATGTACATGAGGAGTATATGGCTAATTCATAACATTTTACTTGACGCGGTAAGCTATCAAACAAAATTACTGTCATGCCCGGGAGTAAGAAAATAACCTGGTTTGTGAACCAGGGATATACGTACTTACATATACATATACATTATACTATACAACATTATATGGCATTTTACGGCATTATACAGCATTATACAACAATATACAGCATTATACAGCATTATACATTGTACAACATTGTACATTATATATATACACAATTATATACATACATTGTACAACATTATACATTATATATTATATTGTAGGTTTTTATTATACACTATACTATACTATACATTAGACATTGCGTATACATTATGCATAATACATTATACATAATACATTGTACATCAGAAATTCTACATTCTACATTCTACATATACATTATACAGTATTACACAATATATACATCCTAAATGAACCCTTTTTCTCTTGATCTATATTTATATACAGTTATATATATACAGTATATATATACATATATATATATTATACATATAATTGGATCATAACCATTCCCCTCAAAAAAATCCAGGTTGTTCCTCCAGGCTTTCGGGGTCGGCCCAGCTGGGCGCCCCGGACTCACGTAACTGGGAGCTCGTCAGGTAGAAATAGGGCGCCAAGGTTCGGAGTGCCTGGAGCCTGTCACCGGAACCGGTTCCGCAGCAACGATTTCACCATGGATCATGATGGATCATGATGGATCAGAGATAGTTGCAGGATATTCAGGACCCAGGATGGCGGATTTTGCTGGTCATGGTCGGAAATTGGCAATTACTTCTTGGAATTACTCTACCAGATGTTGATAAATCTTGACCTTTGCCTCTTGAGTGGCACCCAAGACATTCATCTTCAAATCTCATGGTTGTTTGATGAATGTTTCCCTTCGTGGGGTGCAATAGTTCCCTTCAACTACTATCATTGGGTCCATCAACGAGGCTGATCGAGAACTGCCAGTTTCGCTCTGCGACCCAATGATCAACAGGTTCCCGGCTGTTGCCACGGACCGCAACGTGAATGCATCCTGGAGGGCCGAAGAGGCTTAGCTAGAGGGGAACACTTGGGAAGTCGCAAAAACTTCCACAAACGGATTTGATGCTGTTTCCTCTAAATTTCCCATCAATCCTACTGAAAAATTGCTGTGAATTTCCCATCCCTTTGCACATGAAACTACCACTGAGTGCCGCACAAATCTTGGAAGAATTTCTGAAACAGATCCTCTTGCATGGGTTCCACACCTTCAGAAGCGCAGCACATACCATCCAAAAGTTCATGGCCCCGAAGCAACTCAAACATGTCAGTCATTGTCATCCCATGAAGGTCGAAAACAACCCTGTGGTACTTTTCGAAGCACATTTCAACCACCTGCGGGCGGCCGTGGTCCGCCCACAAAGTCGAACCTCGAACGGAAAACATCCGGCGCCTATACATGGTGAGTTTTGGCGGTGCATTCTTAGGAGTGATAGATAGATGGTTCATGAGGGTTCTAGATGCAAAGATTGGGGTAAACGGTTTGTCTCTATATATCTCTATATCTCTAAACCTCTATATCTCTATATTTCTATATCTATATATATTTCTATATCTCTATATCTCTATATTTCTATATCTATATATCTCTATATCTATATATCTATATATCTATATATATCTGTATATCTGATGCAAGCGGTAGAAGTGCTCAAGTAGGATATGAAGAGTCACTGGAATCGATTGGACAAGGAGGGGTGATCAACGCCTCATGAATCTCGCTCCGCGGCTCTTTTCAGCCAATACTTCACGGAATAGGCATGTCAACGCCTATGAGTGCTGTGGTAAAAACAGCATGCCCCCCGCATCTTCTTTCTCCTTATGAGATGGTGATGCTACCCCTTGAACATTTTCTCCAAAAACCAAAACCAAGACAAAAGAACAAAAACCAAACAAGACGAAAAATCATTCCGTGGGTTTCCATGGTGTCTCAGGCTTGATTTCTTGCCCTTGACTCTTTCTGTTTTCAAGAGGCTCCAGGCCTAGCAGTTTCCTTTTCCGAGCTGACGCTCTTTCTTCATCTTCGACTATGCGCCACTTGTGGCCCATGCGGTAGAACAGGTGCAGTTGCTTGTGCTCGTTGCTCTTGGTCAGTCCATTTGATAGCTGAGCTTCACTATGAACCCACCTAATCTCCACAGCATTGCGAATCTGGGCAGATTTCAAGGAGAGTAACTCCAGGTCTGTTCTCTTCTCAGCGCCCTTTACGGACAAGACCTCGGTCTCTAACTTGTCGTACACATTCCTGGAGTCAGTAACCAGACATCCACTGATCTGGTTGACGACACTGTTGATGTCTCTCACATTGACTTGAGCTCCCATCATTTCTGCCAGTTGGAATCTCGCAAAAAAGAGGAGATCTTCTCCGTTGTTTGCTGCTGCTGCTTCTGCTGCTCCGGGGCTGCGGCAGATTCTGCCAATCTTCTGCGAATGCCAGGCGACAAAGGTGACTGGCTCACAACTGCCATGACGCAACCGGTGCGATGAAATTCCAACTATAATGCCTTGTGTGCTTGAGCCATCTACGCGGTTCTGAGAGGCGGCATCTACCCATGCAAACAGTGACAACATGTGTGGCTCTATGGCATGTACCTTCATGCAGTGTTCTTTCATATCTTTGACCTTATCAAGTAACCTGTTAGCCTTGCAAATGGTCTCGATAGTACTCTTGTTCACCTCTGACAACAGCAAGCCGACTTCAGCACTGAAGTGTGGCGCAACTTGTTGTGCGTGCCATGAGACCCCTCCCAGCAAGGCCCGAAGCTGTGTTTTCTCAGACTCCTCAGTGGGTGCATTTCGGTCTTTCTTTCTGAAGGCTCTCAGGTTGATATATTTCAAGTCTTCAACATACTTCGATTGTGACAACGAAAAAGAAAAATCTTCATGTTGTTCCACTTGAACTCCGCATTGGGTAAACCTTTTTTCTTCCCAATCTCCCCATTTATATTCCGTTTGGATACTCTTGAGAACAGTACACCAACCCTCATGCGTTTCATCCCCACTAAAAAGGAAATCATCAACATGGCCAGAAATAATCCCTTTTGTAACCCCATCAACCACATAAACCCAGCAGCATGCGTCACTCCAGCATTTTTGCAATCCAAGTTTTGCAAAGAAATCTGAAATGGAACGATACCATTCCAGTGGCGCATCAACTAAGCCATAGCAGGCTTTCTTCACTTTTGTGATTGACTCTGCTGGGAGTCCCATCTTTTCACAGATCTCTGGGCATGGTATACAAAAAAGGTCATCAGGGTATGGCCTGCTTTGCAGGAAAGCACCTGTCACATCACCTTTTCGCATCTTGTGGCGACATGAAGCGGCTAATTGCATCTGCAGTTGCCTGGTCTGGCGAGTCGTGGTTGGAGAAGTCGTTGCTCTCTGTTCATAGCAGGGATCTTGGTATCCTAAAAGAACGGCTCTGGCTTTCGCCTTTCGGCTGCCATCCTCCTTCTGCTTCCATGTCAGTATCCAACGCATCTTCACTGCTTGTTCGCGTGCTGGGCGAAGTTTCTCTGGAAGGGCTTCAAAAGCCTTGGCAGCTATGAAGTTACTTACTTCCACGGCCTTTGCAGATCGGAACTGTTGTCGCTCTTCCTCAGATAGGTGACGCTCACAGACTTCAACTGCTGACCGTTTCTTCAAGCTACTGGCAAAGTAAGAAGGGAGATCTCGAAGAGCTCGTTCAGATCCAGCACGTGTGTCTGGCATGGGAACCTCCACGGCCACGGCCGCGGTCTCATCCATCCAGAAGGTGCACTCGGTGGCTGCAAACACTTCCTGGACACTTGACTGGTTCCACCATGGTGGGGCAGCAGCCATGCCTTGTTGGGCGCTCATTCGAGGCCTCTGTGACACGGGTGCCCCTGAAGATGTAGAAGGCGTAGGCCTGGAAGTTGGACTCCTGGATCGCCCTGTTGGCCTGGATGTTGAAGGAGCCGGTCCCATGCCACTCATCTCATCTACCATGGGGCCTCGTTTTCTTGCACATCGTCTCATTGGTTGCCATTCTTGGACTGGATCTTGAGCTCGTAGCCATTCTGCATAAGAAGGTACTTCGGTGGACACATCCAGAAACTCGTTCCCTCCAAGTTGTTGAGCTACTCTATCAAAGTCCCAGTCATCATATTGCTTGGCATGGAGTTCTTCTAAGAGGACCTCCCGCTCGGAGGCTCGACGTAGTTGCTCTGGGGAGCACTTGAGAAGTCTTCTCCCTCTGACGCACCAAATTGAGCTGCCCTGCTTGTGGGTCCCGTCGGGAGAGCGATGTTGCTCCACCGCCAGGATGCGGGCTGGCCCCACAAACGAGCCACCTTTAATGGCTGCTTGGCCGCTCACTTGCTTTCTCCACACATACACTAGGTCTCCTGGCTCATAGTTGGTGACATCTCTGGGTTTTGAGTTCTTGGCTTTTTGGAGTCTCTGGCTTGCCGTCCATTCTAGGAAGGCCTTTTCCGCACTTTGCATTCGCTGGAGCTGGCGATCCATCTCGCCAGAGGCGTTCTCTACCAGCAGCTCTGGACATTCACTGGGGCCGCAAGGGAAAAGTCGCCTGGTAGCATCAGGCGCACGGCCAAGGGCATGTTGGATGGGCGAATAGCCTCGGATCAGTTCTCGGCTATTAAAGGTCCTAGTGGCTTCAGCCAAAGCTTCTGCTGCGGTGACTTCTGGGTCATCTTCAGCTATTTTGTTCATGAGAGTCTTGGTACCCTGAATAGCCTGTTCACAAATGCCCACCTTCCAGTGAGCTTCACCCGGAATAATGTCCAACATTATTTGGTGCCTATCACAGTATTCTTGAACCACATGACTCCTGAAGCTACCATCCGGATCAACCCTGAGCTGATTAGGAAAACCAAAATACTGAACCCAATGTTCCCCAAACGTTTCAACAAACTGATTGGCAGTAAGGTGACTTCTTTTCCCCGTAAGAACAATTTTTCCAACACGAAAACGGCATCCCTCGTCCACGAACATCAAAAATTGATAGGACTCCTTAGTTTGTGGGTGTTCCCAGTGCCCAATATCCCCTGACACAGACGCCCATTTTGGGGGGTGAGGCTCCAAGGTGGCTAACGGCCGTGGCTTCGGTCTACCCCGTTCCTTACAAACTGAACACTCAAAACGTTCGGCTTCCCTGAGCACATCCTCTGACACTCCCCTGCGTCGCAGGGCTTGCACCAGGTGTCTGGTTGGCCCGTGGCCAGTGGCAGCATGCAAGAGGTACAGTCGTTTTCTTATTTCTTCAATAGTCAAACCCTGACCCCCTTTTTGGTTATCTTCCCCAACCAGAACTTCGTGGTCCCCCTTACTGTCACACTTCACATGATTGGTTCCCCTGATTCTTTCATGCTCATCATGAACACATGAACCGCAAACAAAACCATGTTGAGAATCATGAATGTGGTGACAACTGCAACTGATCCCATTACCAAAAGTTTCCCCAATTTGGTGGTCTCCCACAAACTCCCTTTTGAGGTCTTCATCTTCCGCTCCATGAATCAACGCATCACAGACCCTTCGGGCAAATTCGGGGGTGTAATAGGCAGTTTTGTTGGTAAGGGAACCCTCGCACTTCACATGTTTCTGGTGAGGCCCACAACTACATGGCATGTTCATCCTTTTTGCCAACAAAGCATGAGTGGTCATGAGTTTCCAACCTTTTGAAATTGGGTTTTTCTCATCATCAACAAGACCAACACGACAACCCCGTACCACAGCAAACCATGGATTGTGTTTCTTCACCAGTTCCTGCATCATTGGAAGCCTCCATGCCTGACATGATTGTGACCATTCCCAAGTGAATTGTATACCATGCTGAATACAGTACGTATATATGACACTGCAACCGACATACTGTTTCATGGCAGCTTTGCGCTTCTCAGAAAGGGCCTCCTTCTGAGCTTCACTTCTCTGATTGATGTTTTGCATCACTGAAAAAGGTCCACAAACCGGAGAAAGCCAAACATGTTTTGGTTTATAATGGTCAATATCTTGAATGACTTTGTGAATCCCCTGGTTGGTTCCTAAATCATACTCATTGAAAAGTGAGCAGCGTCGGGCCGCACCCTCGTCACCTTTCTTTTGTTGCATGGTGCGAGACAGCACGCTGTCGGCCGAACATGCCACTTCCAGCAGCTCTATGCGCTGGTGTGATAGCAGGGCCTCAAAGGCATTCGAAATCAATCTGTCACTGCAATGGGACAAGTGTCTTACTTTTTGCTCAGGTAAGGCTTCCCATGAGCCCCTCCAGAGCTCACTGTCGACCTGCATTCCCGCCTGTGACAAATTAAAGTTTTCCACACTCTCAGCTGAAGCTACTGTGGGATCGGCACAAAAGAACCTGTTGATGACTCTGTCATCTCGGAGACACTGGATGCTTCGACCTTCTTGTGAGGCCTCTCGGCTTTCAGATTGTCCACGTCCTCCTTGAGGGCGTGCATCATCTGCATCATCTGCATCATCATGTTCTCGGTCTTGCCATTCGAGCCGCTGGCCGGCGTCGATGTGTTCTTGTAGCCGCTGGAGGTCTGCTTGTAGGTCGGCATCGGATGCTGTGCCTCTGGGCTCTGGAGCCAATTGGCCAGACGGGCCAGGCGGTAGTCGCACTCCCCCTCGGTGGCGGTCTTCACGACCCAGCTGGCATACTGTGGGTGTTGGGCTAGAAGCTCGTGGTACTGCAGACTGCAGTGTTCCCCGAACCCCACAGGATCCTCCGGAGAGGCGGCTGTGGTCTGGTAGATCTTCTTGGTGCCCAAGCGCTGCAGCTCCTGAATGGTCTCTGTGCCGCGGGTCTTCACCATGAGCTTGTTGTTCACGTAGTCCACCAGGTCGGCCTTCTTCTTGCTGGCCTTGTTCAGTTCGATCATGGCATGGCGCATCGGTGGCCGTACCTTCCCTTTCTGGGTGACCATCCCGTTGGCTTCCTTGAGTTCCAAGAGGCGACTCTCGATCTCCATGATGCTCCACTGTTTTGGAGCTGTTTCGCCAAAGGTCATCAGGAGCTCTTGCACCAATTCCTTTCTGGTGGCACGAGGCATGGCTCTTGTTCACTGGCTCGTTGGGGATCTCGTCTAGCTTGTGCTGGAGAGCTGCAGGAGGAGGTTGTTCTGGCTCTGTACACTGACTGCTGTCTGAGATTTTTCCAACATGTCCATGGAAACCCTGGGAAAGTTTTTCATCACCAACAACCACATGATCATGAACAACACACCCAACATCATCATGAATGCTAGGATCACCAACCATGTTCAAGGGGTTGTGAAAAGTGCCTGAAACATCGCTACTGACCTTCCTTTCCATCTCAGGCGCACGGAAAGAAAGGAGTTGTCCCTACAGGAAAGCATTCAGGCTCGGCACTGGCTGTGCAGTGCTCTGAGCATCACTGTACCAATCCTGAGTCATGGGCAGCAGCTGATGGCCAGTGGCCGAACGTTCCATCTTGATGATCTTGGACGGGTTGATCTTGCGGAAGACGACCATGTCCTCAGAGAAGTCGATGATTGCTCCCAAGGCCCGTAAGGACTCAATGGAGAACAGCACAGGTCCTGCTCCCGCATCCAACGCATGTACTTGTACTTGTCCAGGTCTGCCATCTGCTTGAACCTCGAGTGAGGCTGTGGACACGCACTGGTTCTTTGATGAATTTCCAAAACCAAACGTAGGCTTGTTCTCCAAGTCAAGATCGGCCAAACGAGAAGTCCCATGCTTGTACTGGTTGAGGGCAATGATCTTCTCGAGGGCCACCACGCTACCAAGGGTCTTTGTAGCCCCTCCATCAACGACAGCCTTGCCTTGTTCGACGGCCATCTGAGTGGAGATAGGCCCTATGCTGTTGGTGTCGGCAACATCAAAGAAGGCCTCTGGGCAAGCATCGGAGAACCCAGCATCCAGGTAGTTCACCTCGAGGTCGTCCGGGACATAGGGCTCCACAATCTCATGGTCCTTGGTGGCCTGGTCTTGTGCAAAACAGATAAAAGGTGCAGCCTGTTCTTCGGCTGAAGAGGCTGTCGTTGTTGCCATTGCCTTTGGACATGATGAAGTCTTGTGAGGACCACCACATCGGAAGCACTTTTGATCTGTGCCAGAAGCTACAGCCGAGGTGCTTCCAGAGGGCTTGAAGTTGGTGCGGTAGTACTTCCGGGACATCCTCACCTGATGTTGCTTCTGTCTGGCCTCTTTCAAGGTGCGACGCCCGCGCTCCATCATGGCTAGGGCTTCTTGAGCCACATCTTCAGCTTCACCCAGGAGTGCGAGGCCCTCGTCATTGAAGTTGCGGTGAGCCTGGGCAACCCAGGCAGTGTCATAGTCCTCAGACTCGGCCTCTTCATTCTCATCCACCCACCAGCTGGAGTGACGATTGGCTGCATCTCGACGACGCAGGTCCTCATCGGTCCACTGGCTGCGTAGCTCCTGTGCCACTCGGGTCATAGTGAAGTCGCCCTTCAGGGCTGCCACGATCATGTTGCGCTCGTTGGTGTCCAGGCCAGAATCAAACAAGAGGTACCAGCCCTGAACATACTCTGGCAGTAGTTCAGGGGCTTCCACATTCCAGTCGGCATTCTCGGAAGGTGTCCAAGAGGTACTCCACCAGTCATTTGACCACCAGTCCGGATAACTCCAGGAATCTCCTGAAGGACCTGGACCAGTGGAGCTTCGCTCCTCAATGGCATTCTCGGTGGCCTCAGCTTGATCATCAGGTCGAGCAAGCGCTTCCCGATCATCCTGAATCTCCTCAGCACTCAGGTTCTGACTGCCAGCCAGGGAGGGTGCTCTCCTGTAGTTGGCCCAAGGGTCGGTGGACCCCGGACGGCTATAGCCGCCGTAGCTCTTCTCCCACGCTGGCTTCTTTTTCTCATAGTGCGACATCACCCTGTGGAGTCCTTGTCGAGCTCTTGCATACAGTTCTGACTTTCTAGTGACGTACTCATTCATGGTCTCTCCCTTCTTGCGCCTGGACTGCCGGAAGTAACGGCTCAAATGATCCGTCAGTTCAGGCATCTGTGGAAGGCCCAAGTTTGACCTCAGGTACGTCAGAAGCCGCTGCACGCCTCCATTGAAGGAGAGCCATTCGGGATGCTTGCCCACAGTGAACCTGCGAGCAGTGCCCGTCAGCTCTGTGAGGAGCCTCGGGCCGCACAAGTAGCGCTTGTGCATTGCTATGGATTGCTCCCACAGCAAAGCGCTCTCTTCAAACTCCTGATATGTTCCGGCATCTCCATCCCAAATGGGAACTCCTTCTCGCGTCTTCTCTATCCTTTTTTGCTTCTCCGCCATGTTGTTCCTCCTATGGCTCTCGCAGTAGGAGGCTGTAGGTCCCTGGTCTCACGCCCGCCCGTAGGCAGGCTCCGCTACCGTGCAAGCGGTAGAAGTGCTCAAGTAGGATATGAAGAGTCACTGGAATCGATTGGACAAGGAGGGGTGATCAACGCCTCATGAATCTCGCTCCGCGGCTCTTTTCAGCCAATACTTCACGGAATAGGCATGTCAACGCCTATGAGTGCTGTGGTAAAAACAGCATCTGATATATGTATATATGTATATATGTACGTAAACATGTAAATGTATGTGTATATATGTAATCAAATACAGAATTAATTATATATATATAATTACAATTATATATATATATCATGATATATAATTATATATAATTGTTGGTTTGTCTATATATATATATAATTATATATAATTTGTAGTGTATATATATAATATAATTGTGTATATATATAATGATGCACATATATATATATAACTGTAAATGAAAAATATAGTAATATATATATATATGTTCAAGATCTGCGCTCCAGCGGATGACAAATCGTGACCCATCCAAGTTTGGGGCACTCGAATTATCCAAGTTGACCCAGACCCAAGTGGGGGATATGGCGCCCTGTCGGCTGGGTTCTCACCGAAAATTTCTGGTGTGCCGATTGAGCCGTGGCCAAGTCTAATGGCTCCTCAAATGGTGATTCTATTCATCAAGAGTCTAAAATGGTGTCAGAGTGCTGATTTTATATAATTGGTGTCACATTTAGCTTTGTAGTGTCACTCCCAGTTTTCTAATTGCTTTTATAGTCCCAGGTTTTAACAATCACTCAGCAATTCAGCTTCCAGCTCAAGCTTCCCATACCTTGGAAATCGGGTACCCATGGGGGGTCGCGAGGATTTTCCCAGCTGGCATACGTGGTTGCGCAAAAGTCCCAAACTAGGCTGTTTGGCTTTGACTGAAAATTTAAGGGAATACTCCCCCATTTTGACGATCTTCCCAAAAAAAATACACAATTTCGAGGTATACCACATTTTCAGACAAACCTGGTGTCCTCTTTAAAGACTTTTAAGCTGGGTCCCATATGATTACAAATGAATAAATAGAAAAATAAATAAATAAGTAAAACATGTGTATATAAATATATATATATAGTATGTATATCAACCCAGTTACCAATTAAAACTCCGTGGATCCACCCAAGTTGAGCCGCGAACAGCGGGAGCTTCCAGTCGCAGATCGACCTGCAGCTGGGTCTTCGACCTTCGAAGAGCTCGTTGCGCACCTGGCAACGGTGCGGGTTTTCTTCCCCACCCATAGGAAAACCATAGGGAAATGGAGGTTTTAATGGGAAAACCATAGGAAAACCATAGGGAAATGGAGGTTTACCCTCTGGTAAACTAACAAAAAGCTATTGAACATGGCCATAGAAATAGTTGATTTTCCCATTAAAAATGGTGATTTTCGATAGCTATGTTAAATTAGCAGAGGGTACTGAATCCAGTCAGTGACTTGGATTATTTTGGATCAACCGATCAACCAGTATCCAATGCACATCCTAATATTGGCCAGGGGGGGTTGTCCATAGTCTTGGCCAACAATATCCATCTGTTGACCATGCGGCCTGCGACTGATTGCCGCGTTGAGAAATGTCCATGTAGCCCAGGCCTAGGGTCGTCCCAGCGAGCAACTTGCCCTGTGTCTTGAGCTAAGGGATCTGCAAAAATGAACTGTCCCCAAATACCCTCTGGTAATTTAACATAGCTATTGAAAATGGCCATTTATAGTGATTTTTCCCATTAAAAATTGTGATTTTCCACTGCTATGTTAGTTTACCAGAGGGTATCCCCAAATGATGTTTTAGAAATGTGCATGATATTGGGTCGGAATTATTTCATAGCCCTCTTCCATGATTGACAGCTGGGGATGGTTTAACGCATCGTGGAATCTACAATCTTATATGGTTTTGGATACCATCATCAACTTTTTCAGCCGGTTGGTCTCCCCTTTCAGTTGGATGGACTTAGCCTGCAACAATGTTTCCCATGTGATATCCTGATATCCCCATTGTGGCTGGTCTTATTCCCTCCGCAGATGGCAGATGGCTTACTTTCCCATATTTTCCCATAAAGGTAGTTGTATATAACTATGGACAATGGTACATGTCATTTAGTTCGATGGTTTACCTATGAAACATGGTCGATTTCCATAGCGCAGCGATGTAAAAAAAAAAAGAGGCTATGGGTAATTTAACCCCTATCCTATATCAATGGATTGGTGTAAGGGATTTCTACCAGGAAACCCCGATCAAATTCATGGGAAACACATACCAAAAAAAAATGTGTCCGGCTAATATTTTCCAAAGCAACCAATCCCCCATTTAGATCCATTGGGTTCGATGATTTTCCCAACCTGAAAGCCTATTTCGCTCGGGGATTCTCAATTGCCACGTTTGACTACCAGAGGGTAACTCCAATAACTCGTCTTTCTGGTTCCCTTAAATGACCCTTAGACCAATCCATTGAATTCTAATCACTCAAATATCTCAAGTATAGGTTCCCATTATATCCCATTAGTGAACCATATCCTATTAATATCCCATTAAGCCACGAGGTAACATCCCATAATATAGCCCCAGTAATTATGGTGCATTAAGAGATCCCATTAGTATCCAATCATAATCCCAGTATACCCTACTCATCCAATAGGTGTTGGTTTGATCGGGGTCGCTGGATCGAAATCGACATTGGTTGGATTGGGACGGCATAGATCGCAACCTTGCGGAGAAACCCTAGAGAAACCCTAAAGAAACCCTAGAAAAACCCTAAAGAAACCCTTAAAAATCTTTAAAAAACGAAAGAAACTCTCAAAGAAATCCTACAAGAAACCCTAAAGAAACCCTCTTCCCTGCCATCCCGGCCATCCCGACCATCCCGAGCATACCATCTGCGACACTGATCCAATGAGTCCCCCGACGCGCAGCTGTATTGGTCTCCCACCGGTCCAGCACTCGAAGTCCCTCCACCTCGGACCAGGTGCTGCGCCAGACCAAAAACTGGTTGGATTTCGGCAACGGAAATCGAAATTTAACCAACAAATCAAGGGATTCGAATGATTCAACCAACAAAAGGCATGGATTTTGAAGCAAAGTCTGGGCATGTCACAGAATTCATATGGGGATCCGGCAAACCTTGGAGGATTTCGCGAGCAATGAAAACGACAAGACCCCGGAAAACATCGGAAAACAAGCAAACATGCAGACAGATAGAACCAACAAGAATTGAGGCATTGCAAACAATTGTGAGTATTGATCATTTTTGGTGAGTTGGAATGGCTGATTTCCTGTGCCTTTTTTTCTTTATTGGGATTGATATCCAGATTCGTGTGCTCTTGGCGCGTCCCGTCTCAAGTCGATATCACTCCAGAAATGTTTAAAAGAATGCGTTCATCATTTTAATAAGAGAGCCAATAAATGTTGACAGTATACCATCCCGTAAACACTAGCCGGAAGAGAAATATTCCCAGCCATTTGGCACTAGGGTATTCTTCTTGCCGCACCATGGAAAATCCCGTCACATCCCCTGTTCTTTCTCTATTCTTGTCCGCAGAAAAAGGGGGTACCGCCAAACTTCCCATGGCTTAAAACCTAAATTTCCAGGGTTGAACACCCCATCTGGTCAAACCCATATCACATTGTTGGTTCTATCATCTCACGTTCTCCCGTTTCATCCCATTGTATCTTCCAGCATCCAGAAATCACTGGGCCCACCAGGCAATGAAGAAGTCGCAAGCCTCCCCCATCAGCAAGGAGTAATGCATCGATGGATTGCTGGGCGTCAAGGTTAAGGACAGCATCCTGAAGTGGAAGCTCTTGACTGGACCTGGAAAAAATATGGAAAAAACATGGGTGGGGATCCAGTGCCACCGAGTCGGTGGATCCATCACCACCCACCTGGAGCTTGGGGATCCCGGCGCCCGCTGTCGAACTTGATAATATTGCGCCTGCGCACCCCAGAATAAAGCCAGGATGAAGCAGCCAAAGGGGACAAGCAGCAACAACAGCAACAGCAACAGCAACAACAACAACAACAGCAACAACAACAACAACAGACACCGCAGTCTCACCATATCCGGTGAACCCGTTCAGAGGATTTATTTACCAGACAGCCTGTATCTGTTGGCAACAAGTGAGCAGGTTCAAAACCCTGTCTCGTCCCTTTCTACTGATTGGTTGATAGGGATTCCCCCAATGGATTGTGATATCCCCAATATAATCTGGTTACCCTCTGGTAAACTAACGTAGCTATTAGAAAATCACCATTTTATAACTGGGTAAATCAACTATTTCTATGGCCATGTTCAATAGCTATGTAACAAATTACCGGAGGATAGTATTCTCCTATAATCATCCAGCAAGAGGGGTTTTCAACACTGCAAACTCTCCCAGAAGTCTACGCCAAGCCCTGGCCACATGGATCTCCCTCGTGGCTACGAAAGTACACTTGAGCACTATGGCTCTAACCCTCCCTTGATACGCTGAGAGTTTGATTCCTATTCTGGGTGATACAATAATCAAAAAATAATAAACCAGATAGATTAACCCCCCATAGTATACTATAATAACTAGTGAGCTGGGGAGCAAGTGGTCACCCACTGATGGTGGCTCCATCGTGGCGCCCGATCCTTCGTACTCGCCAAGAGGTTGCACATGTAGCCTGAGGCGAATGCGAGGGGAAAACTGCCCACGGAACGCATGGTGTTCGGAAAATACAAATATCTGTGCATGTCTATACATGTTTATTTATTTATATAATATATATATACATATATATATATTCCTATTTACGATGTATACATGTCTATATATATATATGAATGAAACTGGACATAAACACCTGTTTGTGCACTGGCTCACGTTTTTGTTCCTTGATTTCGCTATTTCTTGCTGGCCACGACCCTAAGAAGCGGCATCCCCCCAATCGTGGTGCCGCCCGGGCACGACCAAGTTGGCAGGAGTAGGTGGTATGAAGGAGCCTGTGGCACAGTCGTGGTTAAATGGAATATATGTATGTATGTATGTATGTATATATATATGTATGTATCTATGTATCTATGTATCTATGTATTTGTATGTATGTATGTATCTATGTATCTATGTATCTATGTATCTATGTATCTATGTATCTATGTATCTATGTATCTATGTATCTATGTATCTATGTATCTATGTATCTATGTATCTATGTATCTATGTATCTATGTATCTATGTATCTATGTATCTATGTATCTATGTATCTATGTATCTATGTATCTATGTATCTATGTATCTATGTATCTATGTATCTATGTATCTATGTATCTATGTATCTAGGTATCTATGTATCTATGTGTCTATGTATCTATGTATCTATGTATCTATGTATCTATGTATCTATGTATCTATGTATCTTTGTATGTATGTATGTATGTATGTATTCATGTCATGTCATGTCATGTCATGTCATGTAATGTCATGTATGTACGTACTTTGTATCTTTGTATCTTTGTATCTATGTATCTTTGTATCTATGTATGCATGTGTGTATGTATGTATTCATGTCATGTCATGTCATGTCATGTCATGTAATGTAATGTAATGTAATGTAATGTCATGTATGTACGTACGTACTTTGTATCTTTGTATCTTTGTATCTTTGTATCTTTGTATCTATATATCTTGTATCTATGTATCTTTGTATCTATGTATCTTTGTATGTATGTATGTATGTATGAATGAATGTATGTATATGTATGTATATGTATGTATATGTATGTATATGTATGTATATGTATGTATATGTATGTATATGTATGTATATGTATGTATATGTATGTATATGTGTATGTATATGTGTATGTATATGTATATGTATGTGTATATGTATGTGTATGTGTATGTGTATGTATGTGTATGTATCTGTATGTATATGTATGTTTGTTTGTATGTTTGTTTGTATGTTTGTTTGTATGTTTGTTTGTATGTTTGTTTGTATGTTTGTTTGTATGTTTGTTTGTATGTATGTATGTATGTGTGTGTGCCTGTATGCATGCATGCATGCATGCATGCATGCATGCGTGCGTGCGTGCGTGTATGGATGGATAGATGCATTGATGGATGGATGGATGTACGTATGTACGTATGTATGTATATATGTATGTATGTTTTTACGTATGCATGCATGCATGCATACATACATATATATATGCATATATATATATATGTATATGATATGCATATGTTTATATAATATGTATATATATATATATGTATACATATATGTGTGTGTGTGATCTGCATATATATATATATATATATACGCATATATTATATATATATATATGTAGATATTGTAGTTCCAAAAAAAGATCTAAAAGTGAATGATCACTATTTTAGGAGGACTTTACATTTATCTCGTTTTGGGGGTCACATTTTATGCAATTTCATATCCCTCTGCTAAGAGTAAAACCCCAGAAACCCTGGAATGTAGTGGATCCGTTCTTTTCGGGGCTCAATTCTGCTGTCTCTTTAAAAAAACAGTAGGTCAGTTACCGGGTCAGTTACCAAGAATGGGGATACAATCGGATACGAAAACAGTTGATCTCACCAAACATGATACGAAAACAGGGATGCAAACATGGTCTCATGGGGAAGTCGCTGCCTGAAGCAGAAAATCCGCTGCCTGAGGAGAATCGTCTGCACCATCATGGCCTTTCCCAGATTACCTAAGGATGGAAGAGGCAAACGTTGGCGATGGAAGGACTAACTAAGCAGCCAGTCCACGCAAAGTGACCCCCTTCATCCCAAAAAGTATTGAGTCACAAAAATCATGCCTGCCTATGGATCTGGATTTATGATAAATCATCATGATTCACCAATCTGTTTCAGCTTCGGCCCTTGGGGGTTCCCCAAAAACTCATCATACCAGATGGATCTGGTCCACTCCTTGACCTGAGCCAGGGACAGAGCAGCTCGATGTGGGAGTAGTCCAAGAGAAAATTCTGCAGGCTGATCTACTTGGGGGTGGATGTGATCGGGGGGCTGAAAGAACAAGGCGACTCAACAGGTGTTTTTGGAAGGTTCCTACAAGTGTTGGCAAGTCGAGTTGGTGCTGAGATTCACCAGCTGGTAATGCATAAAAATGGAAATGACCATCAGTTGCGGGGGGATGGCTCCATCAACCCATAAAACATATGGATGACTTGGTTCAGCAGCACTGTATGTCATCCCCAAAGCTACTGCTTGAGGGCGGGCACAAGTCCGGCCTGGGCTAGGGCATCGATCAACGGAAGCTTGTCCTCGCACAACAGTGGGATCATTTGGAAAACACGTGAGAAATTGCAGTTGCTTGATGGAATTGTCTGGAAAACAAATGCAAAACAGAAGTTCTGCGGAACTATGTCCTTCAAATTGTGTGTCCATCATCAGCTCCAAATGGTCTTTTCATTTCTGTTTGGTTCCCAGAAATCATGGTTTCTCCAACTCAAAATGTCATCCCTATCTGGGCATGGGTCAAGTGCACCCAAGAATTGAGATGCATGTTGTCGGGTAGTTGTATCCTCATGATATTCCCATAAAATATCGCTTTGAATTGTATTTTCAGCCGCTTAAGCCGCTAATCTGAAAAGATAACTGTTATCATGCTGCCAATTATGCGGATGATCCATGATGATCCTGTTTAGTAACCATGATTCCTCCAGACCCAATACCATCGTTCCAGTGCCCGTCCTGAAGGGATTCAAAGATGGGCACCATCAGCCTGGATGCTTTTGGCGTTGCCAAGGTAGTACCGCAAAAAAAATAGCCGTTCTTGGGAAAATATACACCAAAATCTATGGATTGGTTCAGGGGAAAATCTACAGGAAACCATAGATTTTCCCAGTAAATATGGGGGTTTCCTGTAAAATTCCCCTTAAACCAATCCATTGACAAAACCACTGATCTCTCCCATTCACAGGAGATGTCCTGTGATTTTGCTTCCCTTAAATACAGATGGGGCCGCTGGACGGGTTGGATGTTTAGGATCCGTTCCAGTTTCATTGGTAGACATCCAAACAAATCAAGAGCACAGATATATTCCAGCTGACGAGGTTGGCCCACTGTTTGGAGTGAAACTTCAATGAACAAGTCCAAGTCCAACAACTGTTATGAAAATTATGAAACTCCAATGATCCACCAGTTGTTTCATCTGGAAAATGATGCTTTTGTTATCTTGCCGTACCCTCACCTTTGGAGTAACACCCGGGCATCTTCAGCCAGTGGACAATGCCCACCATAAGCTGATGGGTAAGCAAATATCATAGTTCATTATTGGCCCTTTCACAATGAACATTCATCATCATTGGTGATGATATGTGTGTATACATATGTATGTATGTATGTATGTATGTATGTATGTATGTATGTATGTATGTATGTATGTATGTATGTATGTATGTATGTATGTATGTATGTATGTATGTATGTATGTATGTATGTATGTATGTATGTATGTATGTATGTATGTATGTATGTATGTATGTGTGTATGTATGTATGTATGTATGTATGTATGTATGTATGTATGTATGAGTATGTATGTATGTATGTATGTACGTACGTATGTATGTATATGTATGTATATGTATGTATATGTATGTATGTATGTATGTATATGTATGTATATGTATGTATATGTATGTATATGTATGTATATGTATGTATATGTATGTATATGTATGTATGTATGTATGTATGTATGTATATGTATGTATGATGTATATGTATGTATATGTATGTATATGTATGTATGTATGTATGTATGTATATGTATGTATGTATGTATGTATGTATATGTATGTATATGTATGTATATATGTATATGTATGTATATGTATGTATATGTATGTATATGTATGTATATGTATGTATATGTATGTATATGTATGTATATGTATGTATATGTATGTATGTATGTATGTATGTATGTATGTATGTATGTATGTATGTATGTATGTATGTATGTATGTATGTATGTATGTATGTATGTATGTATGTATGTATATATGTATGTATGTATATATACATACATATGTGAGTTCCTCATAGTTTCTCCAGAAATGTGGTATACCCGACCCCAATATAGCAATTAAATCATGCTGAAAATGTGGTTCGAAACCACTGGATTTCTTGTTCACCATTTCTTCAGACAAACCCCAGTTCAATCTCGTCACAGCTTTCCGCTATGACTCACCACCTGAATAAATATAGAGATCTCAGATCTTCTGGGCAAAATTCCTATCTTCACATACCTGAGAGGTTCGCCATGTGGTTTTGTCTTCAAATTGTGTCCCCAAAAAGCCTTCCCATTACCATTTCGGGTACCCCATTTCCAGCTACACACCCCCCAAAGATGGGGGGACCAAATTCCCATAGGACAAGACGAATCTGCAGCGGCTGGGTCTCCTACACGGCCTTGTCCATGCGGAGCGGAATCTTCGTCATCTCCAGCCGCTCCGTTAACCTCAGGGATAGCCGGGTGACATTTTGAGGTTTGCTGATCTGACCACAAGAAATAGTAGGATTTAACCATAGGTTCCCCAATAAAGTAGACTTTAGTAGGTTCCCCATGGATATTAACATATCTTCAGCAAATCACAGAAAATGATGAGATGAGTTGCAAACAGGGTGAGATGACCAACACTTCTCAAGACACCTGGGTGGATGATTATTAAGGTACCACGACAAGCCCAGAAAAAAGCACACCTCCAAATGGTCCAAAGAAACTTTTGCTGTGGTGATTTAGGGAAAGATATACAGGAAACCATAGGTTGTGCAACTCAGCCGGAAAAACTGGGTTAGGTCCTATGCATCAATTCTGGGAAACTCTGGCAAGACTTACTATGAGGAGCAAACAGTGCCTTACGACACCATTTTCCAGACGAAGTCAGATACAGCATTTAAAGTGCCTACGTGTCCAAAAAATTAAGAATCTTAGAGACTAGAATTTCTTCCTTTCTTGGACACGTCATTTTTTTTTTCGGGAATAATCATACTCACAGCTTATAGCTCACAAGAAATGTGTCCCCACGGTTGGTGACGTCTATCCGAGCAACGCTTGAGGAATCCGGTCTGGCTCCTCGCAGGCAAATGTGGCTCCAAAGTTGGAGGAATTAGCCCAAAAAATGCATATTTAACTGAGAAAAACAGAGTTGTTTTTCGTTTTTTCCTACTGTTTTCAGACTAAGCCCAGTTCAGTTCGGTGAGGTGATCCAAGTGGTGCTTGAGCTATCAGCTATCAATCATCTCGATGGCTATTCGCACTTACCCGCAAAATTTAGGCTAGTATGTTGATGTCAACCCAAACTTGCAGTCTCTCATGTCATAGTATATATAGTATTTCTAATGTGCTAAACCCAAGTACAAACCATCCTCATACCCATAAGTGGGTGGTATAAACCATCCTCAAATGGTAGGCTTTTGATTGGGTGTATACATACTATATATTATTATATACCACATTATACTTGTGTATATCTCTATATATTTACATTAATTTGTAGATATATAACTTGCATTAACTAGCATCATATATGTCATATTTACTACTTCCAGGCCCCCAAGCCCCAAGCTGGGCCCAGTGGTGGCATGGGCATGGCTGGTCCTGGTACATCTCCGGACCCAGAGATCTGGTGCTGCTGAAGGTGAAGCTCATGCGACCGGAGCTTGGCACCTGCGGAAGTGTCGCTGAGTGAAGTAGATGAAGCCATGTCGGGGTTATCTCAATTAGATCAGGATATATATATATATATATATACGTATATATATATGTATAACATATATAACTACATAACATGTACCTGCTTGCATATATATACATGCTGCAATGCATAGTATGTACTTATATGCATGTACATATTATATAATATATCATATGTCCTCCGTCTTGTGCAGGAACCACCAGGAACCACCAGGAACCACCAGGAGTTTGGGCAGCCTGAAAAATCCCATCTTCATCTTCCGAAAAGGATGGCAAGTTCGAGGAGCAGTCTGTAAAGGCCTGCTTCGGAGACAGGGATAGTCTCTTGCAATATTTCAGCAGCATGCGCAGGATCGACCGGTGATAGGGCAGCGACAGATTGAGAGCATAGACGCCCTCGGGATTGGAGACTTGAAAAGCTTCCCCGCGGGCATTCCCCACATCAAAGCTCTCGATGCAATGTAGCCGCTCCAGCCGCGAAACCGCATACATGCGCATCAAGGAATGAGCCCCCAAACTCCCAAAGGGATTGCGAGAAACATCCAGTTCCGTGAGGCTACGATGTCGACTCAATGCATCCTCCAAAATCAAGGCACCTGTGAGATCTAAACGATTGATGGAGATGTCCAGGTACGTCAAGCTCTTGGCTTTGGAAAGGCATTCCAACATCAGATTGACCGGTTTGAAGGGCTTGGCCTCCCGGGGTTCATCTTTCTGTCATGACTACTGAACAACTAAGGCAACTAAGGTGATGTTTGAACCTGGATGAAAAAGACGGAACTATCAGGACACATCAGGATTCCCAACGGCCCCACCTGCTCGCTTTGCCGATCTTGATCCGTGCCCTCTGTGCCAGCCGAGGAGCAGTTCGACAAGGAGAGCGACCGCAAATGCACGTGCGGCTGTGAGACATAGGCGCCGATGGCACCAAAGACCTCATCTCCAAAGGCGTTCCAGCTCAGGTCCAAGGCCAAAAGCGTGTTGCATCTGAAGAGCGCTTCCTGACGGGACAGGGCCATACTTGGTCGGATCAAAAGGGAAAACTGTGATCCGAAACCCCCAGGTTTTTACTGGGAAAATGGTTGGTTTTCACCTGCACGTTTTTTGTTCTGACACAAATCAGTGGCAACTTTTTGGATGGTTGACCTATGAAAATCCATCGGATCATAATCCTTTGCAGAATGGAAGAGGCAAAATACTTCAAAGTTTTGAAAAGTAAACATGGTTTGCGACCCATCTTTACACTTTACACCAATGAGAAGAATCCTCTTGACTGACAAACCAGGTGCTTTCTCTAACTGTCATTCCTACTGCAAGTAGTCTAATTCTTGGTATTGCTACACTGAATCCAATGAAAGTGTATGGCTACAGATTCAATTCATCCGATCCCAAAAAACACAACAAAACATTCAAAAGAACAAGTGTATCCATCTGCACATGAGATGCTTCACCCCCCCCAGTCCAGGCATTGCTTCGCCACGGGGTTACTGCCAAGCCCCACATCCGCCAGGTGCAGATTCTCCAAGTTGGAATGCTCACCCAGGGCCAGACAGAAGTCCAGCTGAAGTCGCACTGGGAAGGGAATACCACTCACATCCTGGCACCGAAAAACTGGGAGAATCTGGGAGTTTTTGACCAGCAAAACATATTAAAACATGGGAGTTTTCGGTACCTCTATTTCAGACAAAGCCGAATCATACTGGGAGTCTGGGACATACTGGGAGTTCAGCTTGATATTGGATAGAATCTTTGGAAGAAGGAGATGCTTGTCTGGGACTGAATTCTGACCCCATCACCAGGTTTATACAAAGGTTTTTCCAAACTCAAACACACAAGGTGTAGGCTAACCCTCGGTTGCCCCTGAAAGTTGTGTCCCAGAAATTGGTGTCCCTGATCACTGCCCTGCAGTTTTCAACACAATTCGACACCAGTGACGCGAAAAAGCAGCTAAGCTAAGCAACCGGAAAATCCACCCATTGTTAGTTTGATGTTCCTAAAAAGCAGAAAAAGATCCGCTTCTTTCGATGGAAAGCCCAGCATCCAAGATCTTCAAGTTGCTCAAGCCACTGGAACTCTCAACCAGATTGATGATCTCCTGCAGTCGTTAAATGTCCCCATTGAACATCACCCAACCATTAGGTATATGGTCTATAATGGCTACTAAGTGGCTACTATAAGGTCATGTCCAATATACCCAAAATGGGACAGTTACCAACCCCTGTCCTGAATGGCCTTTTCCCTCAATCTGACACACTGCCTCAGGCTGAGTCGGGTCAACGTGGCGCAGGCCGGGTTTCTCTTCATCTTCTGCAGCAGCGGCACCAGGGACTTGTCCGTCAGCAGGGTGTTTTGGCTCAGATCCACCTCCTTCACCTCCGGGACACTGCGAAACATCGTGGCCACGGGGATGATGTCGCCTGATCGGAGGGTCGGTTTGCTGAGCTCCAGATGCTGGAGAGGATGATGGCTTTTTGTCCGGGAGAATGTTGGGATGCGCATCTATCATAGCCAATTTCAGGGTATCAAGAGTCCTGAAACACCCCAGGCTTTGACAAGTTTTGAATCACAGTTTACTGGAAAAAAAAACTACAACTACAACTACAACACTCGAGCCCACACATGGATACGCGTCAAGATTTGAAAAACCTAAAAAATTGGATGGTATGATCAGAAACACTATAGATCCAGCTTGTGTGGTTTTAAATCTTTGATTGCTTTCATATGCATAGCCTTTTTTGATAGTGACAAGTTTCAAGAAACTCAACAAGACACAGGCATGGGTCCAATTTTCCTGAACAACGATCCAGCTCGTTCCACTTGCTGGAAATCCTCATCGGTAAGTCCACCAAACCATGGTTCTTTGAGTTGAACATTCCAAGATGTGTATCTCTAGGAACCCACACTTGTGGGCGAAAATCCATGTTCATCCTTATCTATTTATGGCTCAAAAATTGGTTCCAAAATTGGCAGAAATTCAACCATCCGTTTTGGGTAAAAATCATTTGACCCCTACCCCGTACAAGACCTGAAGTTTTGTTGGTTTAAAAAAAAAAATGAGTTTTGTCGGTAAATTCAAAAAAATGAGGTGATGGATCAAAACCCTGCTGCTCTTCTCAATTGCATCAAAATAGCCGGGATTCATGGATGTTCAGTTCTCCAGATATGGTATTTCATAGGTAGCTTGATCCAGCCCTCAATCCAGCGGTTAGTCATGTTCATTCATTTTCACTCTAATAATTGCCACATGTTGGCAGTTGTTTTTCCCAGATTTCCATAGATTTCCCTTTTTATTGGAGATATCAGTTGAAAGCATCCAAAATCCCCATCAAATCCCTGCTTTCCGGCTGCAACTCCCAACATTTTCCGCCGGCCCGCTGGGGCCGAGTGGCAATCCGCCAGAGCCCAGTTGGCTGCGTCCAAAGTGCTCGAGCCACCGGTGATAAAGTCCAGGGGAGTGGGCAAGATGCCACCGCGCTCGCAAGCTGTCATGTACCTGATATGACCCAAAAAGGCAACTGTTTGCACCCGATGTTTAATTATTCATTAGAATCGTTTCAACTTGGGGATTTCATTGAATTGTCAAGCCGATTCAAATAATGTTGCTCAAACAAACTTGGGGCCAAGGGGTGATGAAAGCTAGCTTGGCAGGAAGCTTGGCATGAAAAAAAATGATACTGAGGATGCGGATGCTGCCGAATTTGCTTGGCGACATGCCGACGGTGTCCCCAGGGGAGGATTGAGCCACGACCAAACTGCTTGTGAACCAGTCAGCCCGGGGGGGAGGTAATTAAGTATGAAGTTTCATGCGATTGGAGATTCCAGCCCCCCAATACCTTGCTAAAGAGGAAGTTCAGCTAGCAGAAGCTAGCTTTCGTGAAAATTGCGTGTCATTGCGTGTCATTAGGTGTCATTGCGTGTCAGCGCGTGTCATTTGCGTATCAAAATCTGGAATTTGCGTAACGATGTCCACCACTACGCAATGGCCAGTAAATGGCATTCAATGGCATTCTGTGGCATTCTATGGCTGTGTTTAATCTGATCACTGGATATCACTGAATTGCGTTGCACGACTTTCCAAACAGCTTTCTGTAAGGGGTGCCTTTTTGATAGAAACCCCTTTTAAAATCAAAGAATCCAAAAACCCTTCGGCTCGGCCCCGCTTTGAGTGGCCTGGTATCTATCTACCTAATCGCATCTTATCTCATCTCATCGATGTTTTATGTATCTACAGTAATTGTATGGTTTACGGTTTATGCATGTCTATGCCGTATGGTTTCTAGATATGCATGATGGAAGACACAAAAAAAAAAACTTCGAGGAGAAGGCAAAAGAGCGCGTTCAACAAAACATGGAATATCGGCTTTCTCTACTTAAGTGCACAATGCTTGGTGTGACAACGCTGGGCTCCAACGATTCTTGACATCCAAATCATCACAAAAACCCAACCAATGATTGTCACCCTAGAGGGGACGGGCTTGAGATGATTCACCCAAAAAAATCGTTTCAGTTTAGATCCTAGAATGACACTGGCCATTCCTGGTTTCTATCTACTACAATACCCTCCTCGCTTTCGAGCCATATCCGTATGAAAGTCCATTGGGAACCTGAATCAATTCTCGAAACCATGAACCATTTCTAGCACTACTATGCAATCTAGCCCAATGTCAGCAAACAACCATGACGTCAACTCCATGAACGTACAGAAACAATCGAAAGATCTCCCGCTTGCATCAGCAATTCGAAATCCTCAACCCTCGGGTCCCGCCTGCTGGTGGGTCCTGCAGATTTCTGCGCTGGCGGTGCTGGCTTCCAAACTTCAGTAAAGGTTGTGGCCATCGCCGGCCCCACGCGACTCTCCGCGGTTGCCTCAAAGGGAAAGTCCTCAACGTCCTCGTCGACCTCAGGGGCACATGGGGTGTCGCTCCTTGACAATGAAATGGTTGATATATACTGTGTGTGTGCAAACCAAGTCCTTGAAGCTGTAGAAAAAAGAAGAATCAACTATTGGCATGGCAAAATTCGGAAAGATTGATCTTCCCCCAGAACTAAACCTAGGCCTATTTGGATGAAGTCAGGGGAAATTGTCATGCCCTGCGCCTCCACCAGGCTCTTGCCCAGTCCACCATACTTGGAGTGCAAGGATGGTAAGGAAGTAGACTTGGATCCCATTCCCCCCAGTTCCACTTTCCGGATGGTGCTGTTTTTCACCGACCTCGAGGAGGAACTTGGTTGGAAGTGCTGCAAGCCGCTGGCGGATCTCACATCCCAATGTCCCTCCCTGCTGGTTTTCCCACTGCGCAACTTGTCCGCCATCTGCCAGCGCTGCGTCTTGCGCTCCCGCGCACCGCGCCCAATCCAGGACCGCCCGGATCTCTGGCGCTCTCCTGGCTCAGGCAACGCCGCGGAGCTGCGGAGCTCGTCATTAGCGCGATTTCCGGCGGCGGTTTCGGCAGCGGGCCAGAAACGGCATTGGGTCTCCAGCAAAGGCTTGCAGTGTTTGTAGGCCATGTCCTCCATCACTTGCCCCACGGGAAGCTGACTGGAGACCTGACAAGGAAAAATGATGAGAAGTCATGAAAAGTCTGCTTTTTTTGAGGCTGAAGAAACTTGAAATCAGTTGTTTTTCTACCAAATTCAAGAAACGATCCCTGCAAAATGGTGCCCACTCAAGATGTTGCTGTACACTATCCCCTTCTCTAAATAGTTGGATGTTTGGGCTGCTTGGTCGTTTGGAACTCCTGACACCTGTGCCGGCCGGTAGTTCATGAAGAATCGTTTCACCTGCTCCCGTCGCAACTTCTTGGTAGCTGCAATGGCATTCAGCTGGGAAGTCACGTCACGTTCGCGAGGCCCAAGCAAGGTATTCAGCACGCTGCGGAGGCACCGGAGTCTCTGCCGTGCCGAGATGATCTTATGCAACAGCGCCTTCAGGGTTTCACATGCAGCCCCAAAGCAAGGCTTTAAAAAAACAAACAGAGATGGAACCAAAAATATCCAAAAATCTGGCTGGTTTCATCTGATTTCCTCCCTGGCCTTGAATCTCCCACGCCGGGTACCGCGTGGCATCCATTTTGCCTGGGTCTTCAGGGCCAAGGGCAGCAGCTTATCGAAGAGGCGCTCTTCTGCAGTGGCAAGCTGGCCCTGCACGTCGGGCTGAAGGATGGGAATCGGATACAAGGGACCTTCGCCTGTGCAGCGGCGCTGATGGGGGACTGTGGGCTGCAACAAAATTGGTGACCGCCAAAGAAAACTGAACTTCCATAGATGGCTGGTCATTTTTGGTGCTCAGAGTAGCTATGACAATCCAGCACCTATCAAACCCCTAGCTTGTTTGTAGTACTTACAATCAAATTACACACACTTATTCTGAAGGATTTGACCCAAAAAAAATGACGGTTTACCGACTAATGCAATACCGTGGCAATACCCCTCCCAAAACAAAATAAACAAAGTCTGCGAATTTGGTAATCCAAATCATATGATTGATCACGGTTTTCCGCATCAAAATTGCCATTTTGGTGCTATCAGGGACGTGGCAATCAGCGCCATTTTTTCCCATTCCTTCAGTGCCTTCAGCTTCAGGGTTCACCTCCTCCGTCTGAACTGGCTTCCACATGCTTCACCCATGGCACAACTGGCGGTTCAACTCACAGTGCTTTCGTTTGTCAAATCCATGGGGAAACCCAAAGAATCAGACGGCAAGGGTTGAATCGTTTTTGCTTGGTGGGGAATCATATAATTCATGCAAGTATTGAGATCAGTGACATGAATGATATGCACTTTGGGAGACAAATCAGAATTCAAGACCTGTAAAAAAGCTTCCTCTGACAGATTTCAAATGGAGATGGGTCAAGCCCTTGAGTTGTTGTTCTGTGAAACTGGAGAGAACCAATGGCTCTGAAACTGTGAGGTGGATTTAGGCTGTCCATTGTACACTGGTAGTTGGGGCAAAAAGTTTGAACCCCTGGACAATTTCCACCAGGACCACTTTGTTTGTGGGTCAAGAATTGACTTGCAATCACTCATTGCCTGGCTAGCCTAAAGCTGCACCGAATCAGCTAGAGATGTTGAAACAAGGTGTGGATCAATCTTTCAAAGCCACGGACCCCACACATGTTTGGCAATTTTGAATACGGCTGTAGCGTTTCAACCCTCCATTTTGGTGGAACCCAATTTTTGGACCCATGACCATCCCCGGAATACCCCACCAGTGAGGAAAGGAGGTTTTGCATTTCTGGTTTTGCAAGCTAAACTGCACCAGTCTGGGGCCTTTGGCCACGACCACACCTGGCGAAGAAAAAAAAATTGTTGAAAAAAATCTGTTCGAATTTTGCTTTGCGATTCAGCATCAATCCTGGCCGATCCAAGTCGCAACCAGGCAACCAGCGGCAACCAGGTCCCCAAAAATGGGACCATTCGAATTTTTCTTCACAGATTGCCCAAACGACCGTTTTGTGATATGGCTCCAGGATTGGCCGGGGGCCAGAGATGACAAGGGATCGTCCTAGTCCTCATTGGAACTTTGGGGCACTGGTCACTGCATCCCCCGGCGGATTCTACCGGTGTCTCCTGGGTGGACACCTGCAGACGGGGCCGGAGAAAACCTGGAATGGAGCCATCCAAAATGCTGAAGTTGATCCAATTTTGGACGAAAAATCTGCTCGGTTTAAGTGAAATCCACCAATTGTTGCTTCTATTCCTAGGAAGTTGTTGGTTTGGGGAAAACATTCCGTCCGGTTTTGAGAGGTCAGGTCGCGACATACCACTTGCTCTGCAAAGGGTTCCATGAGTAGTATGAGATTGAAGTAAACCGTTGGCGAATGGGACAGGAGATATCTATGTACCGCCTGGTAATGTAACATTGCGATGGAATGCAATGGATAATTGCAACTTTCAATGGGAAAATATGGGATGATCATCACCTACGAAATTACTTGTTCATATTCATGCCATGCGCAAATTAGGGTCATCCCCTATCAGTAGTGAGGATTTCTGCGTTCACAGACTTTGAGGTGACTCATGGAAAAAAAGGGGTATCAGTGTAGGGTCGTCCCCTATCGGTGATGAAGGTTTTGCGCAAGGCGAAGCAAGACTAAATTAGGATTTTATACATACATATTATATATATATAATTACAATAATATTGTCGGTTACTCATATGTGGGTGATTTTGCATTGCTAGTTTAAAATTACTGCAAGGCAGATCCCCACTTGCGATCCCAGCTAATGGCAAGGTTTTTCCGGTGACAACAAGCCACTATCAGGGTTTGCTTGTGTTAAAATTGGGCATCCTGAATTCGATGATTGATCATCATCTTTCCATATCCATTGTGTATTAGTCAAATCTCTGGGTTTTGATGGTTGGACCCCACGATATCTTATTTTTGATGGTTAGATTCTTCCATTTCTGCACCAGGCGGCAAGCTTTGCAGGCCTGGCAGCACTGCCAGCATTGCATCGGATGTGCAACTGCACCTAAGAAAACCACTGGTGCAGCGAGCGAGTTGGTCCGCTGCACCAAGGGGGTTCTTCAAAAATGACGACCTAAGACCTTAGAGATCTGGAAAGAATACTGTGATGTATATATAACATGTCAAAAAAAATGAAAACCAAAAGCGCTTTCGTTGGAAAATTTGAAATAAATATCCGAAGAAATGACTAAAACTCTTGCCTATCCTACACGAAACCTTTCCGAAGCTCCCCACGGGCATCGCATAGGCGCAGTCCGTGGGTTCCAGAAACCTCTCGAGGAAGTTGAAAATCTGACCCCGATCCAGCGGAAGAATTTTCAAATTTTCATCCATTTTCGATGTTCCACTTCCGCCCTTAGGCCCTTCCGCCTTCGAAGCGGCTGCCGAACCGCCTCTTTCGCAGAGGCCACCAGAGACTTGTAGCGCAGCCGTGCTGGTTGCTGCCTCAAAAAGTCGAGGTGTTGAACAACTCAAAGTGAAAATGATCAACCTCCCAAAATGGATGGTTTAGGTTTAGATATGGGGGTGGGTAAAAACCTATTATTATCAATTCTAATGGGATGAGCATGCATTCACCAGCTATTTTGGGGTTCACTAGATGCCAGGGTTTTGACCAATAGCCATATCTTTGACCCTGAAGACTACAAATGTTGCGGGTCCATTGGTGCCCCAAGCATGACCCATACCCAGTGGTTGGGATGTTGTTCCCCAGCAAAACTAAAGGTGTCCAACCATTGATCAGGAAGTCATCAGCACAAATCAAGATTTAAGCGGCCACACATGGGTTTTCTGTCACCCATTTCTGTAGCCATAATTTCGAATTTCAGGGCCAAAAACTTCTGGGTCACCAGGTTGAATCCCAATGTCTTTGTTGGTCAATTCAACTAAGGATTTGGGCTCAAAGTCCTGATGAAATAAACCGCTGCACAGCTGGAACGGAAGAAACCCTTTCTCTCAAGGGTTGCACTATATACTGGAGGGCGAATCATCCCAAATCCAGGTCATTTGAGTTCCAAACATCCCTCTTTGAGTCAACAGTCAACGTTGAAACCAAAAAATAGTGTCCTACGCGGGGAATAAAAGTTCCTTGCGATGCCGTGAAGCTCCCTGGGTTGACCCATACAATAGCCATATTAATTAATAATCAGCAGTAGCATCATCACCACCACCACCAGCATCATCATCAACATCATCATCATCATCATCATCGTAATAATCATAGTAACAAGAAGAAGAAGAAGAAGAAACAAAAACAAGAAAAAAAGGGATTTGTCTAAAACATCCACTGGTATGAAACAGCATTTAAGTATCAATTCATTTCCATAAACTGTGGCTATACCCCATTTTCCGACTCATCCAATAATAAAAATAATAATAATAATAGTAATAATAATATATATATATATATTGTTGAGTACTAAATATCCCGTTCTTATATAATATTCCGATGGTCTTCCCTTAAAATATCCCCACAAGATGGTTTGTGGATTCTCCCATATAAGCAGACCCCAAAAAAAATAGAATTTGGTAAGATCCCGCTAAAATCACGATGAATTACTTTTCTATCTTTTTGGGTGTTATGATATCACATGATATCACCCTCCGGTAATTTATAAAATAGTAACATAGCCACCGAAAATCACCATGTTTAGCAGGTCAATCCTCATAAATCATCTGTATGTTTAGTCAATGTTCCGTTGCTATGTGAAATTACCAGAGCCTACGATCCCATATGATATATATATATACATATTATAGTAATAGATATCATATGAATCATATATATCATGTGATATATATATATATCATAAGATATTGCCATATATTCCCATACATTCCGAAGTTTGTTGGTCCAAAATCGCCTTCCTCCCAGGTTTCCGCACTGCGAAACCAGCACTGCACTGACAATCAGCGGCATCAACGGCACCTGAAGGGGCGCTGGGGACTTGGGGTCATCGATCCACAGAGGGAATGATTTTATGGGAAAATCATTTGCAGCACACTCTCGGGGGATTTTCATGGAAGAATAATCTAAAATTGAGGATTTTCAGAATCGAACGCCTATTATGGAGGAATTCAACAGGAGAAACACCTTTTAAATGGTGAATGTGTTCACGGGGATGGACCCCTCACAAAGTGGAACCAAGGTCTAGCCGTCCACCTTGCCCTGGCAACTCAGAGAACCCCCCATCGAATCCCATGAATAGAATATTTTTGCCATGCAAGATAAGGTTTGTCCATTGCCATGTAGGACAAGGTTTGCCATAGTTTCAATCCTCCAATGAAATCAGTTCGTAGACCCCCGTTTTTCACCATCAACCACGCTTGGATTTCCACTTAGGAATGGGTCAAGCTTCGGTCCTGTGCCTCTACTGACTTGATCACCGTTACAATGGTTTCAATTTCTGGCCTGCATCTCCTAATTATGGCACATACACGTTTTTACACGTGTGGCTTTGTCTGACAATTTGTTAGCCTTGGTTGGACAGATTCGGCTGTTTTTGGTAATCAATCATGGAAACTGTGCATTGATAGGTGGATCGACTGGGCATTTACAGCAATCTTATGTTTTGGTTTATCATCAGGTTCCCCATCAAAATCATCTTTTGCGGGCCCCATCCATATGTTTTGTCATATCATGCCCAAGTTTCATTTTTTTAGTTGATCATCAGATTTCCCATTTCCAGTTTTTCTTCGGTCGGCTAATCTTGGATGCCCTGTAAAAAGCTACGTACTCTTAATGGTTAAGTTAAAAACCAGCCCCATGAATATTGCAAAAAAAAAAAGGACTATTCTGAAATGTCATAAAATCATGGAATATGTCTATCCCTTTCTCTGCTTTATTTGCACTTGACCATCAACATATGAGTCATGCCACCGCTGTCTCATCCCAAATACCGCTCCCTAGTTGAGCGATAACTTCACCCATAATCATCAAGCAACCATGATTCATCAAATATATCAAGTACATATCCGATATTTGGTAGTTTAAACCACAACAAAACCAATGAACTACCAAATCAAAAGAAATCGCTACTGTTAATTGGCACTTGGTAGTTCATTACAGTAACCTACAGGTTTAACGCTACCCCTTGTTTTCTTTATCGTTTTAAGACTGCTGAAACCGGAGGTATCCCTGCGCTGGGTGACCATCAGCAACGCCACCATGGCCACGGTCAGGCGCCCCCGATGCCGTGGAAAATGGCGCCCTGTGCGCTCCACCTGCATCAACTTTCGGAAGCTCCAGCCTATTATATATATATATTATATACATATACAATTACAGATCCTATATGATTCTGATATAGCTATGACAATTTCATTATTATATATGGTCTCGTGTTCCATGTTCCTACCCCCGCCCCAATGGTATGGGTCCCCAGGTAGCACCCACCCCCTTCCCTTCTATTTGCAAGCTATTGGCAGCATTTCTGAGGTCCAGCCTCGTATTTGCTAGGTCTTTGCAGCATTTCTGACTACCAGCCTCGCATTTACTAGGTACATGCTACCTTTTAGACGACCTACGTAGCACACATACTCCCTCAAAGTACCTACGTGCTACCTATAGTCATATATACATGTGCTATGTTTCTTTTTCCTATTTACTACCTGTGTACTCTCACAACACTACATGTGTTTAACATGTACCGTACCTACCATACATTCCAACGATACCATACATACCATACATACCATACGAACTTTGACGATGCATACCATACCTATCATACCTATCATACCTATCATACCTTTCACACATACCACACATACCATACATATGAAACACAATTACCACACCTACCATACATACAATACCAAACATACATGCCATACATACCATACCTACCTTACTGTACATAGCAAACATTCCATACCCATCATAGTAACCATACATACCATACAGACCATACATACTGGCATATCAAACATACCATACCCAACAGACATACATACCATACCTACCATCCATAGAGTACCACACCCCCACCACACCACAGGGGTGAAGGGGACAGTACCACACCCCCACCATGTATATATATATATATATACACAGCGAGAGAGAGAGAGAGAGTATGTAATGGATATGTCATGGATATATGATGACAATATACAATATATAATATATAGTTCTATAATGACTATATATATATACATATGTTCAGAATTACGATGGTTTAATGGATACACTTTTGGTAGGTTCTTACAAAGCCATGGAAAATGATCCATTTGTAGATTATTTACCTATTCAAGTGGTGATTCCTCATAGCTATGTTAAATTACCAAAGAGTATCTCTCATTCATAGGTTTTACATGGGTCAGTCTACATGATCATGATGGATATTCATTGGCAATTAATCCAGAAAAAACGTGCCTCAGAATATCTGTTCAGTCTAATTTGGAGCTGGGGCTGACATAAACATTCCCCCCCTCTGTGGCAAAAAAAAAATGCCAGTCTTCAGTCTGAAGCTTACAATTTTGTGGTTTCTCAAGTTTGACTCATACCCACACAGACCAGAAACAATTCCGGGGCTGGACCAACCAATATGTAGATCACCAGCAGCAACATCTGGATACCAACTGCAAACAATCAGAATATGACCGTCATATGACCCCATGATCAATCACAATCCGAGTCCTAAGAAACCCGTGTCCCACAGCAATCTGGAGTTTTTGCATCACCGTTGATATGAACCTGCTGGACCTGTCATGTCATCAGTGAGGCTGTTCCCCCGAGAGAACCTCCATGGCGCCACCAACTGCATTCATAGCACGCCTGGCCACTCATTCGCGTAACAACGCGAGGGAACCACCAAAAAAAAAGTGGATGCAAAGCAACAGCAGCAAACTCATCAAGTGTGAATCATCCGAGGGTTGGAGAATTGATGAGAATAAGAACCTGACTCTCAGAATATCCCCAACTTGACTTAGTTCGGACCCCTGACGTTGGTAGCCACCAGTTTTTCGGATGTGAACCACCGAGCAGCGAAGATTTTCGTGCCTAATTTCCGGTCGACTCGCGAGGTTCCTCGGTTGCCAAAACGCAAACCGCACACCTACTGATGGGAGAAACCCTGCACTTTGGATCTTTGAAACCTGTTGAAACCCTACAAATATATATATACGTGTATATATATATATAAGGGATAAACCATCAATTGGTGCAGGATTTCTTCCATCCACTGTATGTTCCAAACCGACTTCGCTTCCATTTTTTTTGAGGGCTGTTTTTTAGCATGGAGATCAAAAGTATGGAACTTCTTTTGCTGTGGTATCATTAGCGCACTCAACCGCTATGCTGATTTGCACAAAGGTGCCCTTGTTGGCCCCACATCCCGCGAAAATGACTTTGTCGTGTATAGCCAACAAAGGTGACACTCCTCCGGAGTTTGTGAATAGCCAACTCCAGCTTGCGACTTCTTGTAATTCCCATCCATGAGCAGCTGAAACTGAGTGAATGAACACAATCGAAAAGATGGATGTTGCATTGGTACGAGTCTCAGCGCAAACCTTGCTTCTAAGTATTGAACGATCTAAATCTTGTGGATACAGTCACCTCTGTCCTGTTCAGTCATACCATCATGGGCCTACTTTTGAATCGAATCGGATCCCATGCGCCCTCTCACCGATTGGCAAAACATTTGTGGGTAGTATTGCAATGGCATAATCAGAGTAGCTGCCAGACACATCATTGTAGTAAGTATTGTTTGTTGGTATGGTACAAGTCATATATCTCCTGTAGCTGCACAAAACTGGCGTTCTCCCAGCTATAGCTTAGCTTATCACCATTGCCAGCTACTAAGCAAGGTAACCTCCAAGCAAGGTAATCTCATGTACCCTCTGACAATCTAAGCTGGCAATGAAAAAGGAAACATAAATCATCTGTCATAAACGGATTTGCCTCAGTATGTCTCAATATCTGTACTCAAACCTCGGGTCCTTACTACTTACAACTATCATCATATAAAAAAAAATTAAATATATGGTTGATATATCCGTGGCCTTGGGCAGCCTTGGGCATTCGAGGAACCCCCGGACCAGCGGTGGACCAGTTCCCAGCCGAAGATCATCAGTTCCAGCTCTCGAAGTTCCCGCATGATGTTTTCCAGTTCACTGGGCAGGTCACTGAGGCCAGGTCAGGTACCAAGGGTGCCATAAAAACCCGTTGCTACCAAGGGTGCTACGCAATGGCTTGAGGGATTTCTACGGATTTCTACGGATTAGACAATAAATCCAAAATAAAACAAGTTTGTTTACCAGAGCTTGAGGATATTTGAGGATTGGGTTTGTGTGTTGGGCCACTGCTTTGATCTACATGTTGCCCTTCAAAAAAAGGGAAGAAGCCTCTTATACTGGGAATGTTGAAGACCTGAAAAATAAACATCTCACTGACTGGTTTGGTCAAAGGTTTTAACAATCAAACATTGCTTTACCATGCTTTACCACTGTGTTAAAGCATCTATTACAATTTTGTTTCCTGCAATCTATCTACAAATTCTGGTGACATGTCATGGTCTGTAGACCGTCTGGTAATTTAACCTAAGTATATATATATAAGTGATGTTCAAAAGGCAATTCATCGAACTAAATGGGCGATGGCTTCCATAGCACATTGTCAGATTGCCAGAGGGTGTCCATTATACAACCTACGTATATATATATACATATAAATATATATATATAATTTTATAATCCAATGTGTATATATGTATGTATATATATATACGGCACGGGGGAGGGCGTCAGAGGAGCTACATATCCTGGGTTCTAACATCGAGTCTCGCCAAGCCACTCCAAGCAACTTGGAGTCTTCTCCACAGGAGTTTGACCTCCCGATGTCGGCGCGACATATGGCTTGATATGGTTCTTTCCTATGGTTTAAATAGTGGTTAATATGGGTTTATGATTAGTTTATGATGGTAAAAATAATGGTTCATAATGGCAAAATAGCTATAAATCTCATTGTAACCTCCCTGGCTAATACTGGTTTATAATGGTTGATGATTGATTCATGAGATATTCATTGTAAAGGCTTACGGCTCCAAGGACCCTAGGGACTCGGCTGGTTCGAAGAGGCGACGGCACGCTGCTGGCGAAGCGGGAGGTGGTCACGGACTGGCAGCGCAGCGCACGGATTGGTGCACGGGGAGCCCATCGAAATTGGCCAGGCCCTACTGTTTCTCAGTCATGTGGGTAAAACAATGCCATAAACCATCCCCCAAATCACCATAAATAGGCGGGATTCAAACCATTCCCAAATGGACAAGATTTAGGATCAAAAGCTTGATGCATGCTGGTGTCCTGGTATTCTTACGCTGAGACCCTCCCTACCAGGGCAAATACGTGGCGGAACCGTCACAGCGCTCTTCAAAGTCTCTTGAAATCGAATCCGATTCCTGCCGTGTCACGTTGCAAGATGAGAAAAAACCAGCGTTTAAAGCACAATGTTTGGCAAGAAAAAGGTGTCCGTCCCAATTGGCTAGTTCTGGGCCTTTGCTTGGTGTTGTTCTCAGGTGTTATCCCTTCCCCCGAATTTCAAATACCTCCAGTCCACCAAAATGGTAAGGGTATTTATAAAATGTTAAGGGGAAGGGATTCCAAAAAATGAAACAAATTAAACTGCACTCCAAAATACCCTGGGGGCCGAACCCACTGCGACGTGTGACCTAGGGTGGTCAGAAACACGAGGTTCCTGCTGTGGTTTTGTCCAAGAATGGGGGACATCCCAAAAAGTCAATTCTAAGTTGGTGAAATGACCATCCCTCAAAGGAGTTCAGGGGTTCTAAATGTTGAGACTCAAAGAACCGCATAATTTCCTCCCCAAGTATCACCTTCCGCATGGTTACTTTGTGACCAGTAGCGTCCTGGTCTCATGGTCCAGGTCAAGTCTTCACCATCTTCCGTCCAAACAGCTGTGCTGAGCTGGCTGACTCTGTAACCGCAGCATTTTTTCATATGGTAATCCAACGGTTACAACGGTTACAACGGTGGTTTGCTAACAACAAATGGTTAATCCATTTCACCGTTGATTTGACCAAAGACTTGGATGAAACCCCTGAAGTTTCGCTTCTGAGATCTCTTGGTTCCACAATGTGGGGGCAAAATGTCGCAAACCCATTTTCCTCTGGCAATGAAACCTGGCAATGGAAATTCCATACATCCATTGATAAGCTAAACCATGTTTGTACTCATCGTCATGTTTGATTTCCGGAGGGTGTGTAAAGCTGTGGCAAGCACAGACCAAAATACATCCTAACCGTCCCAGCTGGGATAGCGACGTTGTCGTTGACATCGAAGGTGAGGTCATCTACGTAGTTGACCTATGCCACACCGGTACTAGGTGGACGACCTTCATCAACCAAGTGCGACAGATTGCAAATACGTCACATGTGTTTATGTAAAGTATATGTAAGTAAAAACAAAAAAAATGTCAAAATGTATATAATATTATATTATATTATATTAGATTAGATTATAATATCTCACATTATATTATATGTTATTATATATTAAATTATATGATATTATATTATATTAAATTAAATGACATTATATTATATCAAATTACATTATATTATATTAAATTGACTATATTATATGTTATTAAATATTAAATTCTATTATATTATATTATATCATATTACATTATATCATATTATATTATGCTATATTATCTGTTAAAAATGCATTTAATATAATATAATAAAATGTAATTAACCAAAAAAACTAGTGTAATCCCGGGAAAATTTTCACTGGTCCCGTCAGTTGCACCAACTGGGTTTTCCTGGCCATTCTTTCCAAAAGGCAGCTCAAATCCAGGAAGCGGTTGGGGCCGGCCTGGGCGCCAGATCTCGGAGCAGGCAGGTTGTGTGCATGCACGTGTTTGTATATGTGTATGAATATATTTATATATTTTTTTTTATTTATTTATTTATTTATATATTTATACATATATATATATATATACCTATACCTATACCTATCCCTATACATGGCAATGCGCAACTCGTTCCGAGCGTTCGTTTGTGTAAATGAAGGACCAGGTGACCCTTCTGCACCCATCCCCTGCCCCGGTGGCGTTTGAAATGGATTCCTTGGCACATTTTGTGAATGTTCGGCTGATTGCAAAAACTGCGAAAGTGTTCCATCAGGACTTTGATTCGGCGTCACATTTTGCAACTGATTTGGTTTTCTATCATCTGGGGTGGACATTGATTCGGAACTGATAGGGTCAGATGGTGTCCCCCAACTCTCACCTGAAGTGCGCTGGTATGAACAATTCTTTCCGACCTAGATCTATCTTCACTTTCCGAACCGTCCCTACCGATCCTGGACTCGAATTCGGACATTTTGCCTCAGCCCGGGATCTTTGCCACGACTTCACTAACGACGTCCCCTTCACAATCTCCGAGATACTGCTGAACTTTGCTCGGTGCAGTCGCAGATGGTTTTCGACGAAGCTTGATGTGAATGGTATGAAGAAACCGACAATTCTTGCCAATTACCTCAAACTTGTCGCCAATGATTGTTGCGTGGCACTTCCTCTGGGTCCCCGCCCACATATAGCCTGAAGCTTTCCAAATGTTCCGATCCTCTGACGTGTGATCACCACAAAGCTGATGAGTTGACTCAAACCTGGAGTGCTATTGCAGCAGTCAATCAAGCTATTTTCGTTCTTACTCGAGCTTTCGACGTGGCTCCTTCGATGTGGCTGACCACCGAGATCACGAGATTATTGCCAAATTGATCCTTCAACCTTTTCAGCAACTCGAGATTTTCCTTCGGAACAACTTGGCAGCCCAAGCCGATTGAGTCCGAGACCTGTCGATTACCTGATGCCAATCAAGACACAAGCAATACTTCTTGTTGGCTGGCAACTCAGAGTATACTCCCAATGCGCCCACAAAACCATGGGTCGAGAAGTCCCTCAAGAATCCCCTATTGTCCCAGGTCAAGTATCGAGCATTTTCCGGAAAATGATACTGAGGAATCAACGCCTGCTCAACAGTCTTTGGCTTCGCTTTCACTGGAGGTGCCGGTGATTGAAATTCTGCTGGACCCTTTGGCCTTTGCTCCCACACTGCCAAGCTCCTAGCCACTGATCCTTTTGGAGGTGGTGGCAACGGAGGCTGAGCAACCGAGACAATCCTTGATGGCCCCGAGCTGGATGCTGCTTCAATCACTTGTTTAGGCACCGGCGATGGATCCTTTCGAGCTGCTGTGATCCTCACCCTCTGCTCAGTTTCTACAACCTGTCGGGATGCACTTGCAAATTTTGGCACTGAACCGCTTGGAGTCTTCGCCTTTGCAATCACAACCCCTGGAGACGATGATGAAGCTGCAGCTTCAACTGAACGGCCAGGGACTTCCCACCTGACGGTCGCGCTCGAGTTACTCAAGAGACTTTCGTCAAGAATGTACCGGTACTCGTTGGAGAATGCACCACTTTGTAATCCCTGTTCGAGAACTGCTGCCTTCTGAGATTTCTCCCCTACGACCCGACCGATGCCAGTCGACTGCCCGCCAGAGAATGTCCCCTATAGAAGCTATCTTTGCTCCCGCCAAGAGCCCGGTTTAACAGCAGCTAAAGGTTCGAAAACAAGACACGCAGAACTTGATGAGAATGTAGATCTGAAGCCCTACAGCTGATAACCACGAAAAACTGTGGTTTCAGCATCCACTGCAAGATGGAATGGCAAACAGCGAGCGCCAACTTTTTCACGCACAGGGCACTTGAGCCAAAAGTCCGGATCATCCGGATCATGGAAAGGTGATCCCCTGACCCACTGGACGGCTCAACGACATGTCTTTATGTCTTAGTGCGTGTACAAACTGTAGATTCCTTGAATTACATCTTTGATGTAAAACTGCACCAGTATTTAATTACACGCAACACACTTACGAGGAAGGAGCCCAAAGGCTTCACGACATTTCACGACCAAGGCGTTGGTGGTGTTTCTACATGATTGAAGTTGGTGACACATACCCTTCATCTGGTGATACATCTACTTGGTACAATTGGTATATTTGCTTGAGTTTATTCTTCTGTATCATGTCATATTATCTATAAGTGCTGTACTGGAATAGGTCAAGACCCTGGTAGCCCAGCCTAGTAAAACTAAAAAGCCGGCATTTCTGAGCAATGCTCCCAGAGTGAGAACCGACGTTTTGCTCTGACGTTCTTGAAGGGATCAACAACTCCCCAAAAGACGGCTTGCACAGAATCTCCTGAGCTGGCTACTATTTATAGGTGATTTAGCAAGCCAAAATGACGATTTTCCATTACCCCTCACTAAGAAGAGGGGATTCAGCAACCAAAAACCAGACTATCACCAGATATAAACCGAAAATGTGCGGGTCTTTTTCTCACCTTGTTGCCCAACAAGTGCTCGGGGCATTTGTCTGGTCCAATTGCTGACAGCCACATAGCATACTGCAGAATCAGCTTCAGATTTGGAAAGACCAAGATGCTTCAAATGTCAAAATGGCAAACCGAAGTAATACACTTTCCCAAAGCCACAGTGTACTGTATGTTTCATACGACACCAGGAGTCTGCACCTCCCATTGCACGAGGGATCCATCAAAGACCTGCCACGCCAGGTGGTCGAGCTGGAAATCAACAAATGGCCAGCAATTTCAATCGGAAGATCCATAGCACTGCCTTGATGTATTTGTACTGAACCACCTGGCGAGCAAGTTTTATGAAATCTTCGGAGATCATGAGATCACGAATCAGATTTATAAATGCTGAAAAAAAGCCCATCGCCATGATAATCATGATATATTCCTAGATATTCCTAGATATTCCTAGATGAAATCCAACGGTCACCAGCCATACTCCAGCCTCTGATACTTGGCTGGGAAGGGAGACTTCAGCACTTCGCCATCTGATTTCACAACGGCCACATCAAATCATGGGATCAACAATCAACTCCCAACGGGAAAGCAGGGTCTATTTCCATCGTTTTTTTTCATCGCTTTTTGTATGCTTACTAAAGGGTATACGGCATTAATAGGTTGTTCAACGCTATACCCCGCGTTTGATGATCCAGTTTGAACATCCTGAAGGAACTCCTCTGAGTCCGGTGCGAGGGGTACGTGTGCTCAGAGGCCGTAAGGGGCAAGGCCCTCGAGGGTTCCCTGGGTGCTGTCGGTTATGGTTGATCAGGTTTGATCCTCTTGGATGGTCAACGGATGTTCATGTGGATCATGTAACCAATTCGGATAATTGATACTAATACTAATTAATACCGGTAAAACAATACTTGAATTATGAGAATTTAAATATATTCAAATGTTCATTCCATTCATTGTGATATTCCCCTATATGTCAGCAGCAGTGCATATAACCCCCCGGAATTTGCATATAATCAATCACCAATAAAATGGAATCAATGGGGGGTTGAATGTTATTGAAACTTTTCCTCTGGGTTGCAAGTCACAACCCCATGGGGGTGGTGCCTGAGCCCATTACCCAAGTAATGATATTACAACTCTTATACAGATGTGAAAACCCACCTACACTTCAACCTATTTACAAACCTATTAACATCATTAACCAGTTCAATTTCAACCCCCAAAAAAAAATCAACTTGAGGTAGTGGGTTGTTCCAACCTTCTTTGTAAGTGGGAACACGGTTTCTTTCTGGCGCGAGAACGGAAATTCAGGCTCGGACCATGAACCAAGCTCAGGGAGCGATCCCACGATTCGGACATCTTCGAGGTTCACTGTTGGACACTTGACCTTGAAATCGCAAATCCCTTAGGGGCTGAAAAATGCTGCCATCAAAACCGCTACAAATGAACCAAAAAATGGTGGTGAGTGATGTTATCAGTGTCACTGATGTCGGAGTTTTGAAATGGGCAGACGTCAAAACTGAAAGCATTTGTTCATCACAAACGGGTTATGTTCAGTCTTCAACTTGCACGAGACATTACCTAGACCCACAAGAAACCTGCGCAGAATCCAGTTGATCCACATTGAAAAGCGTTCACTCAGTGCTGGACTTCGAAAACGACCCACACAGGCATCACCACGAATGGCTCGCCATGGAAATGGTCACATGAAACACGATCCAGTCGATAATTTTTTTTTAAGATGCTGAGGTTGGCTGATTGATGATTCTATGATCTTCAATGGTTAGCTAAGGTTGGCTCATTGTTGCGAAAATGTTGGCGTGATTATTGCGAAAGTCAACCAAAAATCTGAAGATTTCCTGCCTTTGTACTCAGTTGAGGGTTCGCAAAATGAATCGAGTTGGTTTGTTGGTGAAGTAGAGTCAAACCATACTTCTTGCGTTTTGGTTTCACTACATTACCAGCCTTCAGCCCAAAGCTTTACGCCCGGTTACACAATGTTTCAACGACTGTGTGGTGCTACAACGACCAAGGCAGAACAAAGTACAGCACAAAACCTTGAGGCACAGAGTCTTTTGCCGCTGGAATTTTTTGTTCGAGAAAGAGACGTTTCCCGGTGATTTTTTAACATATGTCGGGTGAAGGTCTCCTCCAAGCATTGAACATACCTCATGTGTTTCAGAGCTAAAGGAACCGGCCTACTCAAAGTCCAGGCACTAACCTGCAGGCTGCAAAGAAAAAACTGAATGAAATTCAAAGTTGTAAAATCCAAGAAAACGATGTTTATCACCGTTTGTTCTGCTGGAGTTGCCATTCTTTCGGGGCGAACCCCATTTTTGAAATGAAACCCATGTATATATGACTTAGATTCCAATTCCAGACCAACGTGCTCCGCAAAGAGGCAACTGAGGTTGCAGTTTCCATTGTTAATGTTTGAAGATACCCAGCATGTTGTTATAAGCCCAGCAGTCAAAGTTTTGGCGCTTGCAATGTTCATCAAGTTTCGCACGTTTGCTAATTAACAATGAAACAAAGCTCCTCACAAGCAAGTAGGAGCCGCTTGCTAGCCCTAGCCATGTTTATCATTCCCCTGAACGTTTTGATGATCGCTCCAGTTCTTTATAATTCTTTATTAACTAACATTACCAGCAAAGACTGACTGGCACATGAGACACCAGAAGAGCTATTCCCGGTGCCAGGCCTTATATTTCATGCCTTGGGCGCAGCAAATGTGCAAACAACATCTGGGACTCGAAATTATTCAACCCCAAAAATCGATATGGACAGAAGAAACATCAAAAAAATGCCTCCTCCTGTGCATGCCAATCGGTGACCTTTAGGCCATGTATTGCTGAAGAAAGTCACACGCAAAAAATAAACATACCTGTTCTGTTCTGTCCGTGCATAATCTGATAATCTGATGTGTTCTCGCCGAATCAATTCTGCAGATTCAATCAAATTCGTGGTTCACCTGTGCTCAATTGTTGGCCTGTTGGCCGGTGGCTTGTGATGATTTGGCAATGGGTTTTTAGGCTTAATTCATGTGTCCAACATCGGATGCGTAAACATCCCTAGTACGCCTTTCATGTTTTCATTCCAACCAAGTTTCACCGATGGATATTCCCACCTACTATGCCATTGGGCCACTGCATTGAGCCTCGCCCGTGCAGCCAAGAGGCTTTTCCCTTCAGCAGGTTCACGATTTCTGTGTGTCCCTGCTTTCTCGCATCGTCCAAGGGCGTGTCGCCTGGGAACCACAGCTGACATTCGAAGTGACCCTTTCCAATATCACTTCAATGGATCACCGTGCGGACTGCAGAATTTGACGTGTGGAAACAATGCGCGGAAAGCGCTGTTTCATTCTTCTCATTGGCTCACACGGATGTCAAAGACATGGATGAACTCTAAACATCTCTAAACCCTAATTTTCTTCAACAGACACACGCCCCAAAATCGCGGCTCTTGAATTTCAAGGGAACTTTGAAGATGGGAACCTGAGATGATAAATCCAGTGAAATCGCATGCTGAAGTTGAAAAAAACTTAAAAACTTAACAGATATGTCATAAGTCATTAAGACATGCCACATTCGTTGAACTGGACCTGTTATATCTGTTATATATCTGTTATATCTGTTATATCTGTTATATCTGTTAATTATTGTGATTGCCGGTGAAAAAAAACGGTGTTCAAAAACGGGACATCGGCTGAGGCCCCCAGCCGTCTTTGTCCTTAATGTCCACTGACGCCTTTGCTGCCAGCAGCAGCTTGGCGCACTCCACGTGGCCCCAGTGTGCTGCCCCATGCAGCGGAGTCCGACCTCAGCACCGGCGGAGTGGCGTCCGGCGCTGTGAGCACCGGCGGCGATCGCTGAGCTCCCCGCGGGTGACGCTCAGGACGTCCACGGCGGCGCCCTTCGCCACGAGAAACGCCACAATCGCCGGGCGGTCGTACCGTGCTGCGGAGTACAGCGCTGCCTCGATACCGAAGACTCGGTCGATGCTGCCGCGGTCGCGGCGCAGGTGGCCCCGGACGGCCGGGAGGTCGCCGTTGAGCGCCGCGCGGGCGATGTCGTCGTCTCGGCGCGCGGAGGAATGAAACAGAAATGACGATGTTTTTTTTCCTTTTTTTTCCTTTGATCTTTCTGTTTTCTCTAAGCTACAAGTCTGCTAAGTCTGCTACTATTGAAATTCCATTGAATCAGTTAGAGACCTGAACTTATTGAACTTTGAAGTTCCTGATGTTCATATTTTGGAACTTGAAGCGCAACTTCAAATTACATTACTTCTTCTATTCTTCTGCCTGAGGTAGCATCAAGTTCCATCTATAGTCAGTATACCGACTGAGGCCCAGACATTTCGCAGCCGCGGCTTCGTCGGCTGCGACTACTTGTTCTGGATCTTCCTGCAGGTGTTGTTCCGGTCAAGCCGTGAACAAAGCAATGCCAAATCATGAGGCACCACCAGCAAAACTTACTGTAAAGGCAAACAAAACCAGCCAACCAGCCTGGATTGAGGAGCAGTTTGAAAAATCATGTCTCAAGAGAAACAACTGTCAACAACTGTCAACAACTGTCCATTTCAGGCAAGCCACGCGAGGATCGAACATCAGCTTCTGGATGGCTCCTGTGGTATCGGTATTCAGGTCATTGTCATCGGTGTCCCAAACCAGGGTCGTGGTGACATTCACCGCAGAGGTCTTCTTCTCTTGGTTCTTGCTTTCTGAAGCGTGACTGCGCAACGTGTCGGTCAAAATAGCATCCTTTTCTGGATTGCGTTCAGGTCGGGCTGAAATGACTTGAGCAGCTGCCTCTGCTTTTGTTTCTTCCAATGCTTTGGATTCTTCAAACTTCGCAGGTTCGTATTTGAGAAAACCCAGGAATTCAAGCCATCCACCCGAGATGTGTTCGTTGATAACGATGGCCTGGACTTGAGCTCTAGTGATTCCTCGATACAGTCGGGCTCTTGTGGCCGCTGTTTCTGATTGTGTTCCAATGGGGGCATCCAAACCGATGCACATGACAATTAGATTCTCTAAGCCTTTGCTGTTTTCCATGTGGTCCAAAATGATCATTTCACTCATTTCATTCATTTCACTTTGTCCACCTTTGTCATCAACAGCCAGCCCTGCCTGAAGATCCGGGGGTAAAATAGACAGGGATTTTTCATACGTAACCAGTTCAAAGTCTCTCACTGGAAAATGCTCCTTCAGAGCCAAATCGAGGAGTTGCTTGAACTGTTGTAGGAAACCATCATCGGGGACCAAAAGGCCCAGCCTATTGTGCAAGCTCAGGCCTGCATATGAACGGACCACGTGCCATATGCCAGCCACAGTCTTTTGAACATAGACATCGTACGGCACGCGGCGGTCAACGCTGTCAATATCTGCAGGTCGATTGAAAATCAATGTTTTCACTGGTGGTCCGCCAGGGCACACTGATGTCAAGTCTTCTTTCACCCTGGCAGCTGAGTGAAAAACCGCTGCCCCTGCCACTATCCGTTGGGTACTGCGAATCACTTCTGTCAAGCGGATTGTTGGTATGTCAGGGAATAGTTCTTGAGGGACTGATGAGCACTGGCATTGGCTGGATAACAGCAACTGCCTCTTGCAGCCACTGCTGATACTGTGAAGAAAATCATGATGCACATTGTTGAAGAATACATCTTGAGCTTCATCAATAACTTGTAGAAGCAATGACTGTTTTGCTTTGATACAGCACTTCATCAAATCCATGGAATTATCATCTTTGATACAGCACTTCATCAAGCATTTGTATGGAGGAATCATGACAAGAACTCTGTCGAGCAAACCTTTAAAGTCGAACTTTTCCCGCGCTGCCCTCCGTCCCAGCCAACGGAGGAAATGCAAAGACAATGATGCAGATGGTGCGACAAAAAGCACCTGTCCTGACGAGTTTTGCTTCACGGTATCGATCATGAGTTCAACAGCTAGGAACGTTTTCCCTGCTCCAGCAACAGACGATAAATGTACAGCTGTTGACAATTTTCCGGTTTCTTTAATTTCCTTGTATTTCTCAGCTTGATGCCGCGTCAGCTTTGATATGCTCAAGAGCTGCTGCTCGTAGCTTTCGCAAAAGTGTGTCTTGTTAACGCAAAGCTGCAATCTCCCGTGTTGCCTTGCAAGCAGTTCCTGGTTCAGGCTAATCTCGAAATTGTGATTCAGAATTGCGTTGCGGAGCTCTTGCATTGCTTCAACGGTTTCCACCTGAATTTCAGCTTGCAGACAATCTGTGCCATTGGGAAGAGTGGAGTCTTCATGGTCCACAATCTTCACGTCATCTGGGAGGATCTGTTTCACGATTTCCAAAAACTGGTCTTTGCCAACTGAATGAAGGAGTTTTTGGATAGCATCTCCATGGCGCACCCTTTCTGTGGTAAAGACTTTTCCATGGGATTGAACTCTGCACTGGAGAACCTGCTCCTTTTTGTTTGGATCTTCTGGAGACGGCTTAGATCTTGATACCAGGGTCGGCCGAGCCAGTAGCTCTCCTCTGCACCACTGCTTGCCATCAAATGCATTGACGACTTTGCCCTCTGTAAATTCTTTCTTCAAGAAGTTGACCACGTCAACACCATCATAACTCCAATCCTGTCCACATTTCTTCTGCATCATGTCTAAATAGGCCACTTCGCACTTCTGGGAACCGCCGCAGCCAATGCCGTCCCAAAGGTCTGGTACTGTGGCGAGGTCTTTCCATGCAACTTTGCCCTGGCCCACTTGGCCAGGGAAAAAAAACACCTTCAGAGTTTGTTTCTGTCTGACTGCTTCCTCAACTTTTTCCTTCCAGACGTGAAACCACCTACAGCCCCACGCGGCAATCCTGCCTTTCTTCTCCCATGCCTGCCTAGCCTTCTCCATGGCTGCATCTTTCTCCTCCTGACTGGCACCTTCGCGAACCACCACAGTGTTTGTAAACGCAGTTTTCTTCCTGGCCTTTTCTTCTTGATCTGGTGTGAATCCTTTTGGAAGAATCTTGAAATAACCAAAGTCTTCGTAGTTGCGTTCCCCATAAATAGTTTTGCAGTAACAAAATTTTGGTCTAAGAGGATCAGGCTCATGAACGCCAAGACCATCTTCCGGTGTGCACAGGAAAACGCATGCTATGCTTTCAGCATGCACTGCCTCCTCATGGATGAGAGCGTCCCAGGCCGATACGAATTTGCCCGGAAAAGAGACAAAACAATGTTCTGCACCTTCTTTAATTTTACCATGGAAGGTCTTGTCTTCGGTCTCCTCAATCACTGCTGGCCTCTCCTTCAGCGTGAAAATTAAGGAACAAGTCGTAGAACGCCTGACCTGGCAAACAAAGAGATGTGAGAACAATTTGTGATCGCCTGGCTTTGGCTTAGTCAGGCATAGAGTTCACACAAGGGTTATTTCTGGAATGTGCGCCAAGTCAGTTTTTGTTGATACGATGGAAGGTGAAAGGTTTGATGCACATATCCTTGGGATTTTTCCCAATCATGGTTGCACAACCCAGTGGCATTGCGTTTCCTACATTTAAGGGGATGATTTGTTCTTTTGTAGTGCAAGGACCCGCCACAAAAAAACGAATCAACACCGCATTGAAATCAGGTTGTTGAATGGCGGTTCGAAACATGCAGGGTTTATCGAGGAAGTTCAGTCAAATTTCCGACAACATGGACAGATGAAAAGCAGAGGTGAGAAGAGACAGAGAAGAGAAGAGAAGAGAAGAGAAGAAAAGAGAAGAGAAGAGGAGAGGAGAGAAGAGAAGAGAAGAGACGAGCAACACGAGACGAGACGAGACGAGACGAGAAGAGAAGAGAAGAGAAGCG